TCTTATATATATATATATATATACCACATCTTCTTTCCCTCATGAAATTAATTTGACAGAATCTTTCTGTGCAGGCTAAACTGACTTTCTACTGTATTTCTATAACTCTGTTTACTGTTTGTCTAACCCTCTTTGTTATCTTAAAACTTCTGACATTTATTACATATATTAATTTTGGATAAAGAAAATTGTTGGTGGGGGAGGGTTGGGAGAGGTCAATGGAGGAAAAAGGAGGCATGTAATACTTTCAACAAAAAAAAAAAATTTTTTTTAAAGAACAAAAAACAAACAAAAAATGTTGACATACCATAAAGGTTGTTTATATAATGAAACCTGGCACAAAATAACACTTAAAATACGACATTTGCTTGGGGTTTTAAAGAATTTTTTGGTTTATGTGTTGCGTAATATATGAATAGGAAGTAAAAGCATATTCAACATGTTTTAAATGATTACTAATGTTCCTTAGTGCCCTGACTATGATCTATGCCAAAAAGTTTCTGGGCAAAGGCAGCACAGTACTACCGGGTACATATACTCAAGAGAGCAGTGGGATCCGGAAGTCATCGAGAATCGAAGGAAAAAGAAGAAAGAAGCCCATAAAGAAGTAAGAGGAGAAGAGGAAGGGGAAGAAGAGGAAGAGCAAGAAGAAGAAGAGGTAATATCCCCGTACCATATGCTGTACTTTTTAACATTCATGAGAATTACATTAAATGATCGCATGGATAACAGAAAATAGCAGATCTTACATAAAATAATAATAGGATAATAAGTATGATACTGAACATTTTCAGGCCTTGGGCTGAGAACTTTTACATGGGTCATTCCCGCTGCCTTGAAATATTATTTTCCAGAAATCTGTGTGGCTCTCTCCCTCGTTTCCTTCTGGGTTCTACTCAACTATTACTTCTTCCAGGAACTCTTCCATGACCACTGGATTAAAATAGCACCTTCTCCCATGATTCTCCATTCCCTCTATCCTGCATTATCCTTCTTCCTCGTACTGAACACCGCCTAACCTGTTATCTGTTCATTTGTCTACTTGTTTATGCTCTTCGTGCCCCAACTGGAATGCATGGTCCATTATCCCCAGCGACTTAGTTGGTTTTATTCACTTTAGTATTTCAGGTTCCTAGAGCTGCTTGCACATAGTGGGCACCCGATCAATCTTTACTGAATGAGTGACTGAATGAACTAGTAGCTCAGGTTTTCAAAGGAAATCTAATTTCTTTATTTTGTCTCTAAAAAGATGATGTTCTTTTCCTGCTGTTCCATACTCATTGAGAAGTACAAAGAAATTACTAAATACCAAAGTCAATCTCAAGTTTTATTCCATCTGATAAGGGCCCCATAAGGTGTTTAATCTCTCTTAAATAAAAATCCTCAGACTTTAATTTTCCCTTCTGTCTGCTTCTCACACCAAAATGGCATCTAGATGTAAGGAGGGAGGGATGTGGCTTATAAATTAAATAATCATTAACATAAAGATATTTAAAATCTTTTATTTTCCTTTTAGGCATTTATTGCCGAAATGCAGGTGGTAGCTGAAATTCTTCAACATTTAGTTCAGAGGCCAGAGGATTATTTGGAAAATATTGAGACCATCGTTAAACTTTATAAGGATATGATTCTTCATGCTTTAGAAGTAAGAACAAGATATATTGCTAAAAATGGGAATATAGATATTGTGTTCTATCGCTAGTTAAGTAGCTCTCACACTTATTCACCCCCATATGTCATCTTTCTGGTTCTCCTCCACTTGAATTTGGTAGAATGCTATTAGAATAAGGCTTCCTTCCCAAAGGCTGTCTCACAAAACAATATTATTTTACTCTTATAAAGCATCAGTGTTGCTGAAACATGATAAATGGACTGCATTTTTTCAAAAGTTACTAGGGGATTCATATATGGTTGGAGATTGGAAAACCCATGCTAACAGACTATTTTTGTGAAATCATTTTCAATCTGTAATTTATGGGTTTATCAAAACAAATGTACACTTAAGGTACATCTTTTATTTAAATTGCAATCTAAAGAAGCATTACCCCATTACCCCCAGATTGGTTTCTGTGAGTACCCTATTCAAAGTTGGTTATATGTAAACATGATAAAGCCATCATTTTTGTAATAAAAAACTTTTAATTATTTAGCATTAAAAATATGATTATTAAGATTACAATTATGTGAAAAACATATTTTATATGGCCAAAAATCCAGGGGAGATAGCCAAATTTGTGTTGAAAATTTATTCAACAAGAATAAATTTATTAAACTTGGGTATTTGGCTAGACATCATGCTAAGCAACAACAAAAATAAATAAAAAACAAGTCTTCAAGTTGCCTCTTCCCATCGGATAGAGAAACTAAAATACTTTGTTTTATGCTGTTTTATAATGTTCATATATTTTAAAGACAAATATGTGGATCATTTTAATTCTCATGATCTACCCCCCAAAATGAGAAATGTAATTGTTTCTCCTGTATATCTTTTATTCCTCTCTTCCTCCTCTCTGTCCATGGCCTTTACACATAGCTTCTTAACAGTCATTTACATGTCTGTGTATAACATTCTTTCCTCCTGCATAGTCCCTAACACATTGCAGGCCGATCACAAGCATTCTCGTGTTTTCATATGACACAGTGTTTTACATAAATGTTAAAGGCACGTCTTAAAATTGCATTTTGAAGTTATTTATTACATGTTATGACAAGCTAATATCTTTTGAAAGTATGATACTTTGTAAAACGTTTTTTGTACTCGTTCAATAGAAACTTATCTGGCCACTGGGTAAAGCCAGCCATAAAACTACTGGTGCACAATGTGTTAAGTGGTTGGCACTGTGTATGAAATAAAGCATAATTAAAATCAGATTCCGAAAATTAGAAAACTGTATTTACAGGGGAAAATAAGCAGAGCTAGTCTCTTCAAGGGCTGGGACAAGGTCTTACATACTAGCATCACCGATGCCCAGTGCAGTGCCCAAAGAATGGCAAGTGGTAAATGCTTAACAGATGTTCAGCCGAACAAGTGATGAGATCACAAAGGAAAAAAACGATAGCTTCAATTTCATTACATGTAAGACTTCGAGAAATAAAAAAATTAAAAACCTTACTCAAAAGATAACCTGGAAATATACCCACATCAATTATGAAAAAGTCATAGAAATGATTGTTTTTAACCTGTAAGTTCTCACCCTTCTGAGATAAATAGACCACAAATATGAGCAGACAGTTCACAAAAATGAAAGGCAAAAGAGTAACAGGCCTCTCGAAAATTTTTCAGCTTCTCTGATTATGAAGAAATGCTAATCTAAATAGTGAAGTATCATTTTCATGATCAAAGTTTAGAAGATGAACCAGGAATAAGACGTCCTAATGCTAGCGAGAATATGGTAAAGCAAACACCCATACCCTGCTGAAAGGAATAGAAGTCAGTATGGTCATTTTGAATAGCTTGAGCACTGACAACAACATACATTATGTCATGTGTAACACAATTTAGACTTCAAGATTTCCTCATAGTATATTAAGATTCTGCTCTTGTATTCAGTTTTCCCAGTGATCCTAGATTATAAGGTTTCTTTTCTATTATCTGTAGGAAATAATGGCTGAACACAATCCCCAGTATTTCATTGAGCTTGATGGAAATAAGCCCCCAGAGGACCTCTTTAACGTGAGTGCAATTTTTAATAAAAATATCCCACAGTTTAGAAAATCAAAAAGTTGTTGACTGGCTTGTACTTATTTTAATGACTATCAGAAAGATATTTACATGTTTAACCATTTATTGTTTGAAACACTTATTTTGACACTTAAAAATTTGGTGTTGTATTTATTCATTTTGTTTATATTAAAATCAAAACTACACTTAAATCTAAAATCTCTGTATGGCAAAAATTGCCTCAAAGAAAAGTTAAAGCAAATAGCAGCCAATAAGCTCATGATGATGCTCAACATGAGTCATTAGAGAAATGCAAAACAAAGCCATAATGAAATACCACTTCACACCCACTAAGACGGCTGAAATTAAAAAACAACAACAAAAATAGGCACTGACAAGTGTTGGCAAGGTTGTGGAAAAATTGGAACCCTCATACATTGCTGTTGGGCTTGTAAATTGGTGTGGCAGAAGGGCAGAAGCTAGTCTGGTGAGAGATAATCTGAAATTATTTGAAAATTGAAAGTCAAAGGATGAGCAGCTGGAAGGATGGATTTGACGTTACTGAGAGGGGAAGACTGGGAGGAGTGCGTTTGAGTTGGAGTGGGTGTGATAGTGGGTCATGAGTTTTATCTTGCATGTTTAAAACTGAGGTGACTATTAGGTATCTGTGAGATAATAGAAAATATATATGGGTCTCTGCACCTGGTTCCTGGCACAGAGCTCCCAAATGTTTGCAGTTTCCTAAGAGATAAGAGCACTAGAAGCATCTTTGATTCTTTTGAGGTGACTCTGAGTCAGCTCCCGGATGGCCCCTGGATGGTGGGTGGGCACCTAAAGGACTAGTTTGTTAACGGACATGATAAAGGATCCAGATGAACGGCCAGATGGAGAGATACATAGGGTGGGGTCTGAGAGGGTCCCGGGCTCAGGAGCTTCTGTCCCCGTGGAGTTGGGGTGTGTCAACCTCCTGGTGTAGACATGTTCGCCAACCTGGAAGCCCAAACCTCATACTGTTGGGATTTTCTGGAGGCTTTTTTGCACAGGCATGACTAATTAATAACTCTGTTTTAGCCCATCTCCCTTCTCTGGAGGATAAGGGATGAGCTGAAAATTCCAAGCTGCTCTTATCTTTCTCTCACATCCTACATTCAATCCATCAAGCATACATAGCCGGCTTCTGCTTCAAAATGTATTCAAAATTTGAGTACTTTTTGCAACACACTTTCCTCAACTCTAAGGCAGAAACTCCAGTAGGTCTGGTTGAAACTTGCCAAGCCTGTTAAGGCCCCATTTGGCATGGGACCCTAGCCCTTCTGCCCACATTCCACTGGCCAAACCAAGTTCCATGGAGAAGCTCAACACCAATGGGGTAGGGAGTGTACTTTACCCAACATGAACTAGGGAACAAGCAAGGGAAGGGAGGGGAGGGTGAACTGTGAACTCACAATACAATCTACCACAGATTACCATGTACCATCAGGACTTTGTCTACCTCACCCTCTCTCATCTCAGACTCTATGTTTCAAATTCTTCCACAGAGTGTCTGTATTAGTTGCTTAGTGCTGCCATAACCAAGTACCATAAACTAGGTGGTTTAAAATGACAGGAATTTATTCTCTCAGAGTTCCGGAGGCCAGAAGTCCAAAATCAGCGTGTTGGCAGGGTCATGCTCCCTCCAAAGCCTCTAGTGGAGGATCCATCCTTGCCTCTTCTGCCTTCTGGTAGCCCCAGGCCTCCCTTGGCTTGTGGCAGCATAACTCCAGCGTCTGCCTCTGTCTTCACATGGCTGTCTTCCCTCCGCCCGAAGAGGTCCCGTAGAGCTAGGCCTCTAAGGACATGAATATATGAGGACCAGAGGGAGGACTGTTATGGGTTGAATTGTGTCCCCCCAAAAAGATATGTTGACGTCTTAACCTCATATGAATGTGACTTTATTTGGAAATAGGATCTTTTCAGGTATAATCAAGTTAAGATGGGGTCATACTGAAGTGCAGTGACCCCTATTGCAATGTGACTGGTGTCCTTATAAGAGAAGAGACTCAGTCACACAGGGAGAAGTTGGCTATGTGACAACAAAGGCAGGGGTTGGGGTGATGCATCTATAAGACAAGGAGCACCATAGATTACCAGCAAACAACCAGAAGCTAGGAAGAAGTAAGGATGTATTCTACTCATGAGCTCGTCACTTTTTCAGAATATTTGAAATCCTCAAATGCCAGTTTGAACAATGTATTTAAAGATCTGTTCCTTCAATTTAGACGGTCATAGAGCGTCTTAAATATCTGAACCTAAGAAGAGCAGCTGTTTTAACTAAACTTCAGAGTGCAGAGGAAGAACTGAATGATGCAATGGACAATGTAAGTTATTTTTAACTGTTTGAAAGTGAACCTTCTTACTATATATTGTTACCTTAATTTGTATCCAAGGTTTAAAAGGAGTTTTGGAATGCCTCTTCTAAAAATGAATTTGATTTCTGGGAAGAAGCTGTAATATTATCACAATATTCTTATAGATACCAAACACAACAAAACAAAAGTTATGAAACAAAGAGAAACAATAAAAGCAGAACAACCAAATCACAGGACTAATGAGAAAGAAGAAACCAAGTTCACTTTTAAAATTTTGCAGCACCAGAGAAAGCAGAGACATAAAAGCCCTGAACTCTATAAGCACTCATTCATTTCTTCAGTCATTCAACCAGCATTTTGGAATAATTGCTGTGTTCCAGGCACTGATGTACTGTGCATATGATGGTGATCAAATTATAAATGCTAAGTGCTAAGGGGGCCACAGGGCTTTAACTGGAGATTTAATCTTACTGGAAAGTTCAGTTTCCCCTATATGAATAGAAATTAAAAAAACAAAACACCTGAATTTTAAATCGATGACATAATTCAAATAAAGCAATCTTTGAAGGAAGGTCCTTATGTTATCCTGTGACATGTGATCCCTAGATCTTCATGGGTAAACGTAGCTGGAATATGTGCTGGGACTTCAGTAAACAAACGGGTGCTGAAAGGGAAGACAGGGCCTGAGGAGCACAGAGGCTGTGTTCTGAGCCCCCTCTTTGAGGTCATCAATGAAGGAAAAATTTAAAGGACCCATAAAATTGGAGGAATTTCCCAGCTGGAAAGGTTGTCCTTAGAAATGATTGCCTATGTTTATAGTTCATATGACATATGACTAAGGATGCCTGCCCTCTCCTTCACAAACGGGCAGAAGTTGTGACTGTGTACAACGGAGTCACTATTTATATGCCTCAAGCCGTGTTTCTCCCTGGCAGTCCAGACCACCTCCCAAGAGTCACCTGGGCAGCTTCCCGCAAATACAGATTCCGGAGGCCCACATCCCAGAATGACTGAACCGGAATGTCTGTCTGTAGGTGGGAACTGGAAATGTATTTTTACAACATCCAGAGAAGATGTCCATCCCCGCTTAAGTTTGAGGAACCCCACTTTAAAGTTTGGGACACTCAGGAACCCTGGCTTATCATGCTTGATAAATCTTGAAGTTTCTGCACGTTTTGAAGGACTTTAGGTGGGTGCCCTTCAGCTAAAGGCAGGTGAGCTTTAGAAAATCAATATAAAGGAGTTGGATATAAAGGACTTAAATCTCCAAAGGTGATTTATAAATGGCTAATGAACACACGAATAGAATCTCAAATCACTAGTCATTGGGGAAATACAAATCAAAACTCCAAGATTACCACCATTAAGTATTAAAAAGTACATATATGTATGTGTATCCAAGAAATGGAAAATAACAGGTATTGTCGAGGATGGTGCAGCTCCTGTGTAAAACAGTTTGGTATTTTCTCAAAATATTAAACATAAATTTACCATCAGAACCAGAAATTTTACTCCTATGGATATACCCAAAAGAAGTGAAAGCAAGGACTCACAGGTATTTATACACCAATATTCATAGCAAATAGCAAGGAGGTGAAACAACCCAAATGCCTACCAATGGACATGTGGATAAACAAAGTGTGGTATGTAGACACAATGGAATATTATTCAGTCTTAAAAAGGAAATTAAATTCTGATACATGCTAAAACATCGATGAACCTTGAAAACATTTGTGCTGGCAAAATGAGCCAGAAACAGAAGACAGATACTGTGTAATTACACTTGGGCACCTACCAGTGGTTGGCAAACTGCGGCTTGGCAAACCTGGCTCGCGAGCCACATGCGGCTCTATGGCCCCTTGAGTGTGGCTCTTCCACAAAATACCGGCTCTTCCACAAAATACCGACTTCTGAGCATGGGCCACGAAGTTTCAATCGCACTGTATGTGTGCGCCTGCACATGGTATTTTGTGGAAGAGCCACACTCAAGGGGCCAAAGAGCCGCACGTGGCTCGCGAGCCTCGGTTTGCTGACCACGGACCTAGACTAGGCAAATTCAAAGGAGCAGAACGTAAAACAGAGATTACCAGGGGCTTCGGGGAGAAGGAGAAGGGGACATTACTGTTTAATAGGTGCCGAGTTTCTGTTTGGGTTTTTGAAAAAGCTCTGGAAATGGAGTGGTGATAGTTGCACAACATTTTGAGTGTATTTAATGCCACTGCATTGTACACTTACTATCGTTAAAATGGTAAATGTTAGGTTATATATGATTTACCACAGTTAAAAAAAATTTTTTTAAACCAAAAACATCCTTGCAGATTCTACTATGCAGCCAGGGTGAGAACCACTGGCATAGAGGGGTGAGAGGCACAGGACCTCAGTGTGAACTGGAACCTGCTGGCGAAGAAGTGTGAGAGCTGACACGTTTGATGTGCTGTGAGAGAGGAGTGGGGTGGGGGTGGGGTGGGCGTGAGAGTTTGTGGTGGGAGGAAGGGCAGGGCAGCCTGGCATCCAGCACAGTAGACAGTGACAGGACCGGTTTTCAAATCAGGCAGATTTGAATTCCAGATCTACAGCCTATCAGCCTGTGACTTTGCTTAACCTTATCTTTTTTTAAAAATATATATATTTTATTGATTTTTTTTACAGAGAGGAAGGGAGAGGGATAGAGAGTTAGAAACATCGATGAGAGAGAGAGAAACATCGTTCAGCTGCCTGCACACCCCCTACTGGGGATGTTGCCCGAAACCAAGGTACATGCCCTTAGACCGGAATCGAACCTGGGACCTTTCAGTCCGCAGGCCGACGCTCTATCCACTGAGCCAAACTGGTCAGGGCTTAACCTTACCTTTTGTTCAATTGTTTGAAAAAGGGAGGCTATCCCCTACCACATGGTGTCATTATAAGTATTATATAAAATGACGCTTGTAAAATGCCTAAAACCAATGGTAATATTCAAAATAGCTAACATCTATCTTGAAGGGGCAAGGCTGGCTTCATGGGCTAGCGACCTGTGCGGTCACATGAGCCCCATGCTTAGAAGGGCCCCACAATTAGTTTAATGCTGAGCTGTCAGTCTTGAGATGTTTAATCACTTTAGAACAAAGGCTCTGCATTTTTATTTTGTGCTGGGCCCAGCAAGTTAGCTGAGCTGTGCAGGGTCATTCACCCAATCACAACAGAGCTGGCAGCAGCGCCGAGGAGCCTCGGCTGTGCCAGGCATTAACCGGGTAGCTGCTGGATCACGGAAGGGTCCAGAGGTTCCTCAGCTAGAGGCTCAGTGGGAGGCGAGCTTGAGTGTAGTGGCTATAACTGTCGACTTTCCTGTGCCTCCTCTCACCGTGGCTGGGTCTGGGGTCCCTCTTACAAGATCCTCTGGTCCAGTCTCTCCAAATATGAAGCCTCTGGTTGCAGAAGAGGTGGTGGGGGGTGGGGCTGAGGGACAGAGTTGGCTGACTCAGAGTGAGATGGAGAGTGGCGTTGGCCACTAGCACCTCCTTTTAAAGATCTGCGGCCAGTCTCCCTATCTTCTGCTGTCCATTCCCCATCTTCGGAGGTGCCTAGTGTCAACAGGTCATGAGCTTCTGGAGGATTCTGAAGAGTGAATGAACTTGATCCTTGTTGTCCCCACCCCAACCCCTCCCACACACACCCATCCCTGTCGCCACACTGAGCCTTTAGCTTTTTCTGATCTAAGTCAGCGACCACTCATCCATCTGCTTTCTAGCTACAAAAATGTGTAGCCGTGGAGGGTCCGCTATCACTTCCTCCGGTCTCTTCTCCCAGTCAGTGTCCTTGTGAGTCTATTCCTGTGTTCATTCCCCTGCTGTCATTTTCACGAGGTTTTAGGGAAGCAGCAAGCACAAATGCATGTGTTATCTGCCTTGTTAAGCAGAGGGAGTCTGATAGTTTTTAAGACTCTAACATCCAGCTTATTTGAAAGCTCATCTTCTGGTAGCCCCTCAGCACCTGTACACATGTGGCTTCAGAAACATGGTCGGCTATCAAAACATTTTTCCCAAGTTGGGACAGGAAATAAGGATGATAAGGAAAGAGTGACTGCCTCCTGACTGGTCTGAGTACATCTCGGTCCCTAGCTCATCTGTGGATTCCATGGAGAAGGGGCGGGGAGAAGGAGGGCCACCAACAAGGTTCTCAGTCTCATGTAGCTCCCCTACGCATTGACAGTTTCCTTTGCACTTAGCTACTTCTCCTAGCCTTCAGGTGGGGACACTCATGCAACATCTCTGTACTGTGCCTGCCTCTTTGCTCTGGGATGCTGCAGTGGTCCAGGCAAGACCATAGCTCCCACTCTCATCTATCCTCCACAGTCAACTCTGGAGCAAGCAGCTAATGTAAGATCCACATCTGAAGGTGGGAGGGAGCCAACGTGGACCCTGTCACCCTTGGCAGTTGCCCACCAAGCCTTCTCTCCCCAGTTCTCTTGTCCCTGCTAAGGTAGCCCAAGGACAGTGAACCTTTCAGTAATCTGCAGCCTGTAGAGAAGTAGTTAACTTCTCTGGAGATCATCAACAGAAAGAATTGCTGAGGGCAACTTTACATTCTAGGAAGAGCTAAATAAATGCAAAAATAATTTGTATATAGCATCTTACTATTTAAAAACTTAGGTAAATTGACTAAGAATTTGGTACATTTTCAAATCCTTTCAATAATAATTTTTTCAGTATCTGTTTTCTGAGATCATAGAAAACGCTCTAGCTAGCTTATGCTCATTCTACCTTATAAGAGAAAATGCTCAGTAAAATTCAAACAAGGTCTTATAACAGAAATGAAAACTATATGCCTATTAAATCTTGGACAAGTACAGAATGGTTGCAATTAAGAAAAAAAGCCAAAATTTGCTTTCTAAATTATTTCTTAGAAAGTTACAGCACTATCAAATAAGAAATGAAATAATGCCATTGGTTTCAGCAAAACTTATGCCCACATATTTAATGTTTTTAATATTTGCTTTTAATAGGATGAGCTGTTTCGTACTCTTGCATCTTATAAACTTATTGCACCAAGATATAGATGGCGGAGAAGCAGATGGGGACGCTCATGTCCTGTGACTTTAAAAGAAGGTAACGTTTATCCAGGAATGGCTGACCTTTCTGTGAGGTAAGTAACAATTTTCAGAACTTAATTTCAAAACTTCCCCATATCTCTTTTCAGTTGTTTATGATGGTGCTGTATTTTAAGTTTTCTAGGTAAAATGTACTGTCTGGCATCAGAAGAAACATTAAAAGCATTTTTATTGAACCCACGTCCCTATCTTCTCCCACCAATGCCTGCACCACCATTCAAAGTATTTGTATTTGGACCTCCATCTTCAGGGAAAACAACACTTTGCAATTTGCTTGCAGAACATTACAAAGGAAAGGTAGCTACTTATGCTAGCTAGCTGGCTAGCTTTCTACCTATTTAAACTTGATTATAATTTGTAGGATTTGTGAATTTGTAGGATTTGTACTGACTTTTCTTAATTTTACACTGTCATTTGGGTAATTGTCCTTTGGGCTTGGAGTGGGAAAGGCATCCCCCTTGCTGTTCATTGTCGCTTCCAGACCATAGCCCCTCCCTGCTTCCCCAAAGCCCCAGATTTGACTGTTAGGTCGTACAGATGACACCACCCATTACCTCTCCTGGTTCCACAGGTCTCCTGGGTTATACCCCTCCAGCTCACCGTGGAGTGAATATGTGGAGAGTTCTCTATAACGTACTCACTCCTGTCATCATTCTTGGTGGTTTCAGTAATTACTAGGATGACCCTCCCAGCTCCCTGGCCTGCCAACTGCTTGACCTCCCCCCTCAGTGGTCTTGTCCTCCACACTCAGTAACTGAAGAGAAGTTGCATTCAGCTTGGACCAGAGAGATAGCAGTAGAGGTGGGAAGAAGTGAGCAGATTTGGGATGTGATGTGAAGACAGAGCCAAAGCATTTGAGGAGGGATTGGTGTGTAGAGGAATGATATGAAAGCCAGCATGGCGAGAGCGTAGGGCATGAAAGGAGGAATGGCACAAGATGAAGGTGGCTGAAGATGTAGTCAGAGCTATGCAGGGCCTAGGAAGGAGTCTGAACTTACTTCGAGCCCTGTTGAGTTCTTTTAAACACAGGGGTAACATTTTCTATTTGCTTTGAACTGTTTTATTGTAAAATATAACAAGCATACAGAAAAGTTGAAACTCACTGAACTATCACAAAACAAACCCCCATATAACCACCACCCAGGTCAAATAGAGAATGTTGCCAGCATCCCAGAAGGCCCCTCATGCCTCTTCCCAACACCAGTCCTCTTACTCCTCCACAAAGAGAACCTCTGCCTGGAACTTTATAGTGTTCACTTCGGTGCTTTTCTTTTATGGTTTTACCATGTAACTATATGTCCACATACCATAGATTACTTTTACATGTGTTTCTTTATGGACGTAAACAGTTTATGTTATTTATGCCTGGTTCCTTTTACTTAACATTATGATTGTGATATGTAATGCATCTTATTTATGCATGGTATTGCATATAGCTATATATTTTTTATTTGTATTGTTTTACTAGAGGCCCAGTGCATGAAATTCATGCACTTGGGGGGGAGGGGTCCCTCAGCCCAGCCTGCGCCCGGCCTAAGCCATCAGTCGGACATCTTTAGCACTGCTGCAGAGGCGGGAGAGGCTCCCACCACTGCTGATGCACTTGCCAGCTGTGAGCCCAGCTTCTGGCTGAGCAGCCCTCCCACTGTGGGAGTGCACTGACCACCAGGGGGCAGCTCCTGCATTGAGCATCTGCCCCCTGGTGGTTAGTGCACATCATAGAAACAGGTTGTTCCGCCTTTCGGGCCAGAACTGGCTCTCTGACATCCCCCGAGGGGTCCTTGATTGCGAGAGAGCACAGGCCAGGCCAGGGGACCCCACCGATGCATGATCGGGCCGGGAAGGGATGCGGGAGGTTGGCCAGCCAGGAGGGACCGCGGGAGGGCTCCAGGGCATGTCCAGCCCATCTTGCTCAGTCCCGATTGGCTGGACCCCAGCAGCAAGCTAACCTACCCCCTGGTGGTCAGTGCACGTCATAGCGACTGGTTGACCAGTCAACTGTCTGCCCCCTGGTGGTCAGTGCATGTCATAGCAAGCAGTTGAGTGGCCTTAGCATATCATTAATATATTACACTTTGATTGGTTGAATGGCCAACTGGACGACTGGACACTTAGCATATTAGGCTTTTATTATATAGGATTGTATTATATTGATTGAATTATATTACAATTTGTTTATGCAGTTGAGTGTTAATAAAACTTGGATTAACTCCAGTTTGGGGTATTAGGAATAATATTGCTCTAAACATTCTTATGCTTGTCTGTCAGTGTACACATGCATATCTTTATATATTTTGGAGCTATATCTAGGGGTAAAATTTCTGGGACATGGGGATGTATGAATATGTTCACTTTGTATAGGTAATGCCAACTGTTTTCCAAACTAGTTTTACCAATTTATAATCCTGTCGGCAGTGTATGAGAGTTCTGTTAGTCCACATTCCTGCCAACTTTTGTTAGGGGCAGTCTTTCTTACTTTAGGCATTTCAACAGGTGTTTCTCACTGTGGTTTTAATTTGCACTTCTTTAATGACTTCTTTCATGTTTATTGACCATTCATATATTCTTTTTTAAAAGTATTTTTTCAAGTCTCTTGCCCATTTAAAACTTTTTTTGCATGTTATCAGTAGGAGTTCCTTATATTGTCTACATACAAGTTCTTTTTCTTTTTTATTGAATGTATTGGAGTTACATCAGTTAATAAAATTACATAGATTTAAGGTGTACAATTTCATAATACATCATTTGTATATTGTATTGTGTGTTGACCATACAATTTTTTTTCTTAATCTTCACCCAAGGACATGGTTAGAGGGAGAAAGAGAAGAAGAGAGGGAGGGAGGGAGGGAAAGAGGGAAGGAGACAGAAAACATCAATTGCTTGCCCTCTGTACATGCCCCCACTGGGGATCAAACCTGCAACCCAGGTATGTGCCCTTCCCTGGAATCAAACCAGTAACTTTTCAGTGCACAGGACGATGTTAAATCAACTGAACCACTTCTGCCTGGCTACAAGTTCTTTTTTTATTATAAGCATTATGGGTGTGTCCTATCACTGTGGTTTGGCCTTTCACTGCTTTAATGAAAAATGCATCATACTCTTTCATTTAAAGCTAGTCATTAAGTCCTGCCTATATGGAATGCGAGGGGAATTAGATTCCACCTTCTGTGGGGAGGAGTATTAAAGGATTTGTGGACATGTTTTAAAACCATCACAGTGTGTATCAGACAAAGGAATTACAATTTTAAAATATAAAGAGTTCTTTAAAATCAATATACAGAGGAAGCCGCAATGGAAAAAATATATAGCCAACAGGCAATTTACAAAATAGATACAAATAGCCATTAAGCGGAGAGATGACAAAAAACTAGAGATATGTCATGTCAGCTGTTAGAGTTGAAAGATCACTATTAACGACCCATTTGTGATTAGGATGGGGGAAAGCACATTCTCATACACTGCTGCTAAGGGTATAACCATTAGGGATGGTGATGGAAATAGGTATAAAAGCCTAAAATCCATGCATATCCTTTGAACTGTCAATTCTATTTTATAGAAACTATCAAAGAGATATACATAAGCCCTAGCCGGTTTGACTCACTGAATAGAGCATCGGCCCGGGGACTGAAGGGTCCCAGGTTCGATTCCGGTCAAAGGCATGTACCTTGGTTGCAGGCACATCCCCAGGAGGGGGTGTGGAGGAGGCAGCTGATCGATGCTTCTCTCTCATCGATGTTTCTAACTCTCTATCCCTCTCCCTTCTTCTCTGTGAAAAAAATCAATAAAATATATATATATTTTTAAAAGAGTTATACATAAGTATATTCATCATAGCCTAGTTTATAATATAAAAAACATATATACTTAAGTACATATTATTGGTATTTTAGTTAAATAACTTGTAATATATTTAGCTAATACAGTACTGCACATCCACTAAAAGTAATGGTGTGAATGTATATTTATTGGTATAGAATAAAATAATGTAAGATATTGAAGGAAAAGCAAAATGGAATCTAGAGGTATGGAAATGTTATTTAAATTTAAAAGGCATGTAAAAATCTACTTGTAACAGTTAAATATGAAGAATATTACCTACCTGACAAAAGACTTACGTTCAGAATATATATAAAATTTTAATCCAATTTTTTAAATGGGCCAAAGTTGACACATCTTAAAAAAGGAAGTTAAGTGAGTTACCAAGAAGTGCTAAAAAGAAGCTCAAAATTACTAATGAGTGAGGCAATGTAAATTTAAACTACATCAAAGCCCTTCTTCAGACCCATTAGAATGGTTAAAATGTAAAAGATTCACAAACCAAGTGTTGGTGAGGATGTAGAGTAAATGCAACTTTCACACATTGCTGATAGGAATGCAAACTAGTTCGGCCACTCTGGAAACAGTTTAATTGCTAATTATAAAGTCAAATATACGCTTACCATATGACCCAGTAATTCCACTCCTAGATATTTACCCCAGGGAAATGAAAACGTGTGTTCACAAAAAGACTTCTTCAGAAATGTTCATTACAGTTTTACTGATAATAGCCAAAAAGTGGAAACCACCCAAATGTCCATCAATAGATGAACTAAAAAAAAAAAATATATTCTTACAGTGATACCACTCAGCAATAAAACTGACAGATTACGGACATATACAATTATACTGATGAATCTCAAAAACAATACGATAAAGGGGGAAAGCTTGGAAAAGATTACATAGTAACTTATAAGGAAGCATTAGGGCACTTTGGAGGCGATATAAATGTTCTTATCTTGATTGTGGTTGTTGTTATGTAAACTCATCAAGCTGCATACTTAAAATGGTTACCTTTTATTATATGTAAGTTATACAAAGTTGATTTTTAAAATATATGTAACTTGAAGATATATTACATGATGCATTCATAAATAGACATATAGTCCTACATGAAAAATATGACTGAATTTCTATGAAAGCAAGTGTTGAAAAATCCATGAATTCTGAAAATAACAAAGCTCAAGTAGCATTAAAGATTTGTAAGCTAGCCCTGGCCGGTGCAGCTCAGCTGGTTGAGTGTAGTCCCAAACACCAAAGGGTTGCCAGTTTGATTCCCAGTCAGAGCATATGCCCAGGTTGCTGGTTCGATCCCCTGTCAGGGTGCATACAGAGGTAACTGATTGATGTTTCTCACATCAGTATTTCTCTCTCTCTCTCTCCCTTCCTCTCTCTCTAAAAATAATCAATAAAAAACATATTTCAAAAAATAATATTAAGAAAAAGATTTTTAGGATAGATAGGTAAAGATATAGAAATAGACATAGATACAGATACATAGATATAGATATAGATAGAGATAGAGATAGAGATAGAGATAGAGATAGAGATAGAGATAGAGATAGAGATAGAGATATATACTTATAGGTGAACAATGTGTAACTGTGCTTATGTTGGTTTTCTCAAATATTCTTTGCAGGTAGTTGACTATGCCAAACTTGTTCAGCCACGTTTTGATAAAGCCCTTGATATGTTAAGAAAAAATACTATAGCTGAGGCCACTCAAGAAGCTATTAATACTGTGAGAGATCGGCTCCTCGCAGAAGCAGAAAATAAAAAACAAGGTGATCTGTCTTTTTTATTTTTTTTAATTTTTTTTAAATTAAATCTTTATTGTTCAGATTATTACAGTTGTTCCTCTTTTTTCCCCCCCATAGCTCCCTTCCACCCAGTTCCCACCCCCCCCCCACTCCGCCCTCACCCCCCCCCACTGTCCTCATCCAGAGGTGCACGATTTTTGTCCAGTCTCTTCCCGAATCCCCCACACCCCTTTCTCCCCCAAGAATAGTCAGTCCACTCCCTTTCTATACCCTGATTCTATTATAATCACCAGTTTATTCTGTTCATCAGATTATTTATTCACTTGATTTTTAGATTCACTTGATAGATGTGTATTTGTTGTTCATAATTTGTATCTTTACCTTTTTCTTCTTCTTCCTCTTCTTAAAGGATACCTTTCAGCATTTCATATAATACTGGTTTGGTGGTGATGAACTCCTTTAGCTTTTCCTATCTGTGAAGCTCTTTATCTGACCTTCAATTCTGAATGATAGCTTTGCTGGATAAAGTAATCTTGGTTGTAGGTTCTTGGCATTCATCACTTTGAATTTTTCTTGCCACTCTCTTCTGGCCTGCAAAGTTTCTGTTGAGAAATCAGCTGACAGTCGTATGGGTACTCCCTTGTAGGTAACTGATTTTCTTTCTCTTGCTGCTTTTAGGATTCTCTCTTTGTCTTTTGCTCTTGGCATTTTAATTATGATGTGTCTTGGTGTGGTCCTCTTTGGATTCCTTTGTTTGGGGTTCTCTGTGCTTCCTAGACTTGTAAGTCTATTTCTTTCACCAGGTAGGGGAAGTTTTCTATCATTATTTCTTCAAATATGTTTTCAATATCTTGCTCTCTCTCTTCTTCTGGCAACCCTATAATTTGGATGTTGGTATGCTTGAAGCTGTCCCAGAGGCTTCTTACACTATCTTCGTATTTTTGGATTCTTTTTTCATTTTGCTTTTCTGGTTGGGTGTTTTTTGCTTCTTCATATTTCAAATCTTTGACTTGATTCTTGTGATCCTCTAGTCTGCTGTGGGAACTCTGCATAATATCCTTTATTTCAGTCAGTGTATTCTTAATTTCTAGTTGGTCCTTTTTCATAACCTCGAGGGTCTCACTAGATTTCTTGAGGGTCTCACTACATTTATCGGCGGTCTCACCAGACTTTTTGAGGGTCTTACTGAATTTATCGGCGGTTTCTAGAAAGTTCTTGAAAAACCTTAAAAGTGTGGTTTTGAGCTCTATATCCAGTAGTTTGCTTTTCTCCATTTCGGTCATTTGTGTCCTGTTTCTTTGTCTCCGCATTTTTTATGCTTCCCTGTGTTGATAGAGTGGCTTTCTGTGCTAGGTGTCCTATAGGGCCCAGTGGCTCAGCCTCCCCAATTACCTGAGGTGGACACTCTTGGTGCACCCCCTTGTGGGCTTTGTGCACAGTCTCATTGTAGTTAAGCCTTGATTGTTGTAGGTATCACTGGGAGGAATTGACCTCCAGGCCAATTGGCTGTGAGAATCAGCTGTGTCTGCAGTGGGAGAATTTCTGTGCTGGAGACACCCCTCTGGGGCAAGACTTGCTTCAGTGGGGTTTTGGTGCTCACTGAGTCTGCCCCTTGAGTGTGTCCCTTATGGATCCAAGGAGCTGCAATCTGGATGGTCCCACTCTGACCACTGGGCACACTGGCTCCTGGATCTCTAAGGAGGTGCTAATCTAGCCTCTGCCTGAGGCTACCCAGCAGGAGCTTAGCTGTGAAGCAATGCAAGTTGCCGTGGGGCCTTGGGCCAGCTGCAGTTTGTTAGGTAATTTTCAGATTGCAAAGAGCCAGGCCTTTCATATGTAAAAGCAGGCACACAGCTTGGGTGGGGCGGGGGTCCCAGGGGATCAACAGGGCTGAGCAAGCAGCTATGCCTGCCCTCAGAGGCCCCACTTCTCAGTGTCCTGGCAATCGCTGCAAGCACCTCCAAGAGAAAGCTGCCCTCGAGTTCCGACCGATGCCAGACAGTCCAGTTTCTCCCGTATGAGTCTGGGTCCCCAGAGACTTGCCCGGAACTTGAGCTCAGAGCTTGAGACTCCCTCCCGATTGAAAAAGACAATCGTGTCCTCAGCCGCCAGCTCTCTCCGCATACACCTCCGCACCTTTGTATTTACTTCAGCATCGCACCTCCTCTGAGTCTCAGTATGCTTTTCTCTTTCCTTCTAGTTGTAGAATTTCCACTCAGCCAGCCTTCCTGTGGTTCTGGATGATGTCCGTTTTGTCTTTTAGTTGTTTTTTGAAGTGGTTGTGCGAGGCAGCAATTTCTGGTGTTTACCTATGCCGCCATCTTGGTTTCTCCTCTGATCTGTCTTTTTTAAATGTGTTTTTTAAGGTTGGGTTAACAATTAAGCCTGGCTACCTGCTGGCAAGGACTTGTGTGCTCATCTTGATAGCTCTGGTACCTTACACCTTAATAAGCGGTTGAATAAATGAGTCTACATCAACCTGATTCATAAACAGAAAAGATTTCAATTCTAGACTTCTAAGGAAAGGAAACTGAAAGAGCTTTCAGATTTAGATTGCATTGCTTTTGTGAGTCTGCCTGCTGGCCAAAGACTGAGCATAATTTATACCTTTATCTACACCAGTCATGATACCACCCTCCACCTGACTCATGGAGTTTGAGTTTTTGCTGCTATCATTGCTGTTTTAGGCTTGTATGCTAGCTCTGATTATAAATCAGATTGTTCTATTTGGGAACTATTAATTTTAAATTCAAAAGGCCATAAGGCAGTGAAACTAAAAGAAGCCTTAAGATCAATTAACGTAACTTTACAGATGAGAAAACTGAGATGGTTGAAGGTTAAATGGCTTCCTAAAACTCACCCAGATAGTAGCATAGCTGAGACTTAAACCCTGGTTCCCAAAGTTCCAGTGTTCTTTCTCTTGACCATCTGCTTCTTCCTATACCTCACTTCTTATTATCCTATATAATAAAAGCCTAACATGCTAAGTGTCTCATCATCCAGTTGACCGTTCAGCCAATCAAAGCGTAATATGCTAATGATATGCTAAGGCTGCTCAACCTCTCGCTATGATGTGTACTAACCACCAGGGAGCAGATGCTCTGACCGGTAGGTTACCTTGCTGCTGGGATCTGGTGGATCGGGACTGAGTGAGATGGGCCAGAGATGCCCTGGAGCCCTCTCGTGGTTCCTCTCTGGCTGGCCAACCTCCCACATCCCTCCCTGGCCCCAATCGTGCACCAGTGGGGTCCCTTGGCCTGGCCTGCACCCTCTCGCAATCTGGGTCCCCTCAGGGGATGTTGGAGAGCTGGTTTCAGCCCGATTCTGCAGGCCAGGTCAAGGGACCCCACTGGTGCATGAATTCGTGCAATGGGCCTCTAGTATATTTAAGAATAGACACAGGGTTTGGGGTTTTTTATTTTTTTTTTAAATATATATTATTGATTTTTTACAGAGAGGAGGGGAGAGGGATAGAGAGTTAGAACCATCGATGAGAGAGAAACATCAATCAGCTGCCTCCTGCACACTCCTCACTGGGGATGTGCCCGCAACCAAGGTACATGCCCTTGACCGGAATTGAACCTGGGACCCTTCAGTCCGCAGGCCGACACTCTATCCACTGAGCCAAACCAGTTAGGGCGGGGGTTTTTATTTTCTGTTTTTCTTAAGGAAGAATGAGATTTTTCATTTCATGGCTCTTTTTGAAATTCATTGATTGGTTTTGGTAGAATTTATGTCTATAGGTGGCACCCTTGTAACTAGTCACATTGGAACACATGGAAGTTGCTTAATATCTAAACATCTCACTTAGTGCAATACCCACAATGCAGCACTTGCTATATAATACATGGGATATTTCTCACTTTCAAAGACCTGGAAACAAAATTTTTGATTACCTCCAGTGTTTTAGACTAAATTCAGCCACCACTGTTTGGATTTCCAGAAGCTATGGCAATGTACTGTACTCTAGTAGAGCCATCACTGCCTCGATTCTAAATATTCTTTTTCTAATAAAGTTTTTCTCATTACAAAAGTCATATTGGATCTTATTTATTGGGCATTTACTGTACATTGAGGCTATGCTCAATGCATTGCATGCATTCCCCTACTTAATTCTCATAACAAGCCTATTAGGTAGGTATTTTTATCTCTACTTTCAGTACATGAAGAACCTAAGGCTTAGGGGGGTTAAGGTATTTGCCCACAGTTGACAGCCAGCAAGTGATTGGGATTCAGATCTACTGTGATTCGAATCAAATTTGTGCTCCTATCCTCTATGTCTCTCAAGGGCTCGCAGAAAACTGGAAAGAGCAGTGATACCCCAGAGCTATCCTGTTAAGAATTGGATGCATTCTTTAGCCCTCTCTTTTTTCTATTCATATTGGTAATAATTAATTGTGATTCTATGGTATATGTAAAATTGCATTCTTTAAAAATAATTCTTTCTAATTAATATGTAATTATTGTAATAAATTATATGTTAGATGAAGATTTAAGTTAATTATTTCCAGATGGTGGTGAGCCAATTTTATAAATAACATTTACTAAATTATGCATATTTTTACTACAGATTTGAAATGCCATCTTATTAATATTAAGCTCATTGTAAAATTCTGAATTTTCTATTCTTTTCCTCTTTCTATTACAACCTTTAATATAGAATATAGTTATTAAAACTTTATGACGCATTTTAATCTAGTAATATAAGTTTCTCCTCAAAACATTTTGTTTTGAAATTATTCCTGGGTATTCTTTCACTTATTCCATAAAATGAGTGCTTAGTGTGTGCCAGGCTTTGGGATATATGTAGAATTTTGTCAAGTTCTACAACAAATCCCAGTGGAAGAAATTGTGTTCCATTAAACAATAATCTGACAATAATTAGCATCTTTATTATTAAATCTTCTCATAGAGACAGATGAAATCTCTTTTTTGTCTAATATTTGTATCCTTCTTTAACAAAAATATACTTTTCTTAATTTTATTCCTAGATATTTTGTTACTATTGAATGAGATAATTTTTCTATTCATTTTCTAGTTCATTACTACCAGAATATTAGAAAACGTTTAATATTTGTTTGTAACTGTCCACCTTATTAAATTTACTTGCTGGTTCTTATAGATTTTTTAGTGGAGTCTCTGGAGTTTTGCAAATAATCAGTTATATCATTTAGAGAAGAGGTATAGTTTCAACTCCTCCTTTCCCGTTATTCGTGCTTATTTCCTTTCTTGACTAATTATGTGCTAGGAATTCTAGAAGGATGTTATTAATAGTGGGAGTGACAGAGGACCTCTTCAAATGGGTCCTTTCCAATGTTTCTTCCTAAGGTTATTAAGTATTTTCATCTGGAATGGATGTTGATTACCAAGTGCCTTCTTGGCACCTATCAAGGTAATCATGAAGTTTTTAATCTTTTGACCTATTGATTTCTCAATTATGCTAATGTATTTTCCAACATTAAACCATTCTGATAGTTCTGAAATAAACCTTACTTGGTCATGGTATATTATTCTTACAACATATTTTTTCTTTTGATTTTTAATCTAGGATATTTTTTTTACACTTACAAGTGTGGTTGTATATAACATTTTCTTTTTTGTGTGCTCTATTTTCAGATTTTACTATCAGGGTTTCACTAGCTTTTTAAATAAATAGAGAAGTTTCCCATCATTTTTATGCTTGAAACGACTTAAGGAGCAAGAAAATTACTTCTTCTTACATGGCAGTGTGAGCTTTTGCTACGCAAGAATACAGCATTGACTAATAAATCTGCTTCTCTTCTTTTTCATTAGCCTATAAACAAATGAGAGTCCAACATGGTGCCTAAGGGATTATAAAAAATAACAACAAAAAGACCAGCATTGAAATTGCATTCCATCCAGATGATCATCCAGATGATGCAGAATGAATTTATATTTTTAGTATACCATCTTCAAAATGCAAACCAAAATTAAAAAAAATATACGCATAGAGAAGTCACAAAACAAAGCTTGAGACTATTTATCCAGACTACTAAGATGGCTTGCTATTCAACCTATTTGAGGCTGGACAAAATGAATTCATTAAATCCTTCAACAAACTCTAGAGTACCTACTTTGTGTTGGGCACTGACCTACAGGAGGTGAACAAGACACATGAAGCTCCTGTCTTCATGGTGGTTACACATTGAAGGGGGTAGAGGGCCAAAAAAACCCACAAACTGGTAGAAAAAATATATAACACAGTAATGGGGTAGGTGGTGATTGGGGTAGAAGTGCTGGGGTATTAGGGTGACTAAGGAAGACCTCATTGAAGAGGAGACATTTAACAGAAATCTAGATCAAAAGAGGGAGTTAACCAGGGTCCTGGAGGAAGAAAAGTGATGTATTGTCTCTCGAAATCTGTAGTGATTCCTTTTACATTACATTATGGCATAAAATCATAGATTTTAAAGCATTTCACAAATTGCCTTTTTACACCAGAATATAAAAATAGATGCTATCTCTCATATGCTACAAACTTAAAAGCTTCTTTTGAAATTCACTAATTATTCTAAATCTAATAGGGTTAACCTTTCTTAAAATTTAAAAAATTATAATACTTTTGCTAGTGAATTTTACTCCAATATATTAAGAAAAATTCACAAGTGGAGAGTATTGAGGTTTTCAAACATAGAAAATTATAGACTAATACAGAAGATGGCAGCTAGCATGGAGCAGGCTTCCTGAAAGCCAAGCATTTTCTAAATTGCCATCATCCATTCTTGTATTTAATCCTCACAACATTGCCTTGGGTTGGATGGTGTTCATTGTGCAAAGTAGAAATTGAGACAAGGAGATCAAAGCCATGCTGACTGAGTCAGCACTCACACCCAAGTCTGTCTGACTTTAAAGCAGAGAAGTGAATCATTATTCCTGTCTCCTTACCCTAACCTACCTTCTGCTAACACAGCCAATTATTATCTTTCAGCTTTAAAAGACAAGGAAAGAGAACTTAAAATGAAGGAGTATAATAAAAGCTTCGGAGAGACACGCTCTTCACTTGATGTCGAAGGTAAAGAAATATATTGCTACTGCTGTATTAGCCAAAATGTTTCTAATATAAACAGGTTAGCTGATAAAGCATGTTATTCTTCCACTGCAGGGCTCATTCTGGAATCCCAAAGAGCGAGCACTGTAGAGGACAATGAAGAAGTCAAAATGAAGTTGGATAGTGATCCAACTGTTAAAACTGATCAAGATGGTAACAAAATGAGCTGTTAATGCCATGCTTATGGGTCTAACTTTCATTTTATTTCATATTTTCTCATGTTTAGATTGAAGCTTAAAATACCCCCAAAATTGGAACATTCAGGGAAAAAAGACTAAGTTTCTCTGTTACAGATTTAAGCTGTAGAACCAAACTAGATTTACTGGGATGAAGAAGAAAATACAGAAACTGAGGAGTCTAATATGATTAGAACCGCCCCAAATTTCTCAAAATGTTTCTAAACATAACACAATTATTATTATGTAACTAGAGGCCCGGTTCACAAAATTTGTGCACAGGTAGGGTCCCTAGGCCTGGCTGGCGATCAAGGCCGATCAGGTTCCCCGCCTCCCTGCCTCCCCGCCTCCTCCTCCCCTTGCCACCCACGTGGTTCCCTCCCTCCCTCCCCACCTTCCCACCACCTCCTTCCCTCACTCCCTCAGCGCCCTGCCACCACTGGTTGCCTGCCATGTTTTACACTGCCCCCAGTGGTCAGTGCATGTCATAGCAAGCGATTGAACTGTTGTCCCAGTTGAACTCTCAAAGGGACACTTTGCATATTAGCCTTTTATATATATAAACTAGAGGCCCGGTGCACAAAAATTTGTGCACTCGGGGGAGGGGGGGGCGTCCCTCAGCCCAGCCTGTGCCCTCTCGCAGTCTGGGACCCCTCAGGGGATGACCACTTGCTGGCTTAGGCCTGCTCCCCAGGGGATTGGGCCTAAGATGGCAGTCAGACATCCCTCTGGCAGCCCGGCAGCCCACAGGGGATGTCCACTTGCCAGCGGGAAGCAGACCTAAGCTGCAGTCAGACATCTTTAGCACTGCTGAGGAGTCAGGAGAGGCTCCCACCACCACCGCTGTACTGGCAGCCATCAGCCTGGCTTGTGGCTGAGCAGAGCTCCTCCCATGTGAGACCGCCCTGACCACCAGACGGCAGCTCCTGCATTGAGCGTCTACCCCCTGGTGGTCAGTGTGTGTCATAGTGACTAGCCATTCCCAGTCTTTCTGCTGTTAGGGTCAGTTTGCATATTGCCCTTTTACTATATAGGATAGAGGCCTGGTGCATGGGTGGGGGCCGGCTGGTTTGCCCTGAAGGGTGTCCCGGATCAGGGTGGGGGTCCCGCTTGGGTGCCTGGCCAACCTGGATGAGGGGATGATGGCTGCTTGCAGCTGGTCACACCCCCTTCAGGGTGGGGGTCCCCGCTGGGGTGCCTGGCCAGTCTGGGTGAGGGGCTGAGGGCAGTTTTCAGGCTGGCGGGTGACTGAAACTCCCAACCTCTCCTTTTCTTCTTCTTTTTTTTTTTATTCTGGGATTTATTTACCTTCTATGGCTGTCACTGGAGCTGAGAGCAGGCTTTAGCTCTGAGGCCAGCTCCAGCTTGAGGCCTTTGCTGCTGAAAGCAGGTATCTGGGATTTGTTTAGCTTCTATAATTGAAACACTGTTGCAGCTCCAGTTCTGAGGCCTCTGCTGCTGAAATCAGGTATCTGGGGTTTGTTTGGCTTCTATAATTGAAACACTGTTGCAGTCCTGCTCGCTGAAGCCCGGATGGCTGAAAGCAGATATCTGGGGTTTGTTTAGCTTCTATAATTGCAACATTGTGGCTTAGAGTGCAGCTTAGAGCCGGGCTGCGGCAGGCGGGGAACCTTGGCTTCCTCCATCACTGGAGCAAGCAAGCCTCCTGTTCACTTCAGCTGCGTGGCTGCCAGCCACCATCTTGGTTGGCAGTTAGTTTGCATATTGCCCTGATTAGCCAATGGGAAGCATGTCGGAGGTATGGTTAATTACCCTATTAGACTTTTATTAGATAGGATAATAAATTATTTCATAAAAGTTTTCTATTTCCTTTATTGTGTTCAAATCTAACCATCATAAACACAGAGTTTTAGCTGTGAAGTGTTATCATTTGGTGCTATTTACCCCAATAAAGTTTTTCCATGCATATCTTTTTTTTTAATATATATTTTTTAATTGACTTCAGAGAGGAAGAGAGAGATAGAAACATCAATGATGAGAGAGAATCATTGATCTGCTGTCTCCTGCATGCCCCCTACTGGGGGTTGAGCCCACAACCTGGGCCTGTGTTTTGACGGAGAATCGAAACTGAGACCTCTTGGTCCATGGGACGACACTCAATCCACTAAGCCACCACAGCCTGGCTCTGTGAATATCTTAACATAATTTAAAGCATACAGTGTAAACTATTTTCACCTTTTTTGATTTATAATGTAACATTTAATTACATTATTTCATTAGGAGATATTTTAACCCTCATTTTCAATTGCTGCACGATTTCACTATTTATAGGTAATAGTTCTAACTAGTTCCTTATGTTGGAAACTGGTAATTTTTCTGATTCTTTTGCTCCTAAAAGTAATGTTGCAATTAATTTTTTTACATAAAGTTTCACCTGCAAGTTGACATAAGTGGAGTAACTGGTTCAGTGAGTATGAACCAGAGTCAAATTGCTTTGCATAAAAGTTGTTCCAACTTATGTTCCCCTCAGTAATATACAAAGTACATGTCATTGTTTCCTCAATATTTTCTCTTTTTAGATACTATTTTAATTTTTAAATTCTTTTTTAGGTTTAATATTTGTTAACCATTTATATTTCTTCTTTTCTGAGGTGACCATTTTCTCTTTGCCCATTTTTATAAGTTGTATCAGTTATATCAGTGGTTCTCAACCTTCTGGCCCTTTAAATACAGTTCCTCATGTTGTGACCCAACCATAAAATTATTTTTGTTGTTACTTCATAACTGTAATGTTGCTACTGTTATGGATCGTAATGTAAATATCTGATATGCAGGATGGTCTTAGGCGACCCCTGTGAAAGGGTCGTTCGACCGCCAAAGGGGTCGTGACCCACAGGTTGAGAATCGCTAAGTTATATGGTTTCTATATAAGCTTTCTATATTAGTCACTTATTTTTCATATTCTTTTTCAAAATTGGGTGATTTGTCTTTTAAATTACCTTGCTGTTTTTGAAGTAGAGGAATGTTTTATATTTTCGTGGTCAAATCATCATTTTCCCTTTGTTGATTAATTCCATTTACTTTCAGGTTTAAAAAGTCTTCCTCTCAACCAGAGGTGTAATATATACTTACACTCCTTTTTTTCTTAAATTCATCCAACCTTTTGTGGGTAGTTCTTAAGTATATCTACTATTTATTTTGTTCTATAATGTAGAGCTGATATCTTTTGTTTGGTTCCTGCTCCTGAATCAGACAGATGTGTGCTTGTCTGGTGTATATTTCAGGCTTAGTAGGAATTGAACCAGGTACTGTCAAAAACTTAGGTATGGCCCTCTCCCTCCCCTAACACACACACATACACACACATCTTAAAAGTTTGGCCAAGTGACTTCTGGGAGTTAGTTGCCAGCTAATACAGTAAGTGAGCCCCACCCCCATGCTGTCCGTTCCCTCCTTGGGGGAGGCAGTCCGAGGTAGAGCAGACATCAGTGCCTCTACCCACTGCTGGAGGGATGTCAGTACTGCCAAGGTTCCCTTGTAAAAACGCACCCTCTCTGCCCCATGCACCTGAGATAAACACAGCCTTGATCTCTGGAAGGGAGTTGATAAATATTTATTTCAATTTAGATTCACTGGCATTATTGGAAACTGAAATTCCTCTTGATTTTATTATTGGTTAATTAAATCATCTTTATTTTCTACTGCTGATAGATATGTTTACCTGTCTTATTATTATGGTTATTATTTTAACCATTAAAGATTTAGGAACATAGTCTTAGCTACTTTGGATCAATGGATCGAGTGTCAGCCTGTGGACCAAAGGGATCCCGGTTCAGTCCAGGTCAAGGGCAGGTCCCTCGGTTGCAGGCTCCTCCCCAACCTGGATCCTGATTTGGGCTCATGCAGGAGGCAACCAACTGATGTGTTTCTCTCTCATCGATGTTTCTCTCTGTCTTCCCCTCTCTTCTGCTCTTTCTAAAAAAACCAATGAAAAAATATCCTCTGGTGAGGATTAACTACAACAACAACAAAAATTAGGAACATAAATCCTGGATACCAAGACCCATGATCTTGTTTGGGAATCACCTACAATTTAATAATGTTCTTTAGGTTTTTTTTTAATTTTTATTTATTTATTTATTTATTCATTTATTTATTTATTTTGTTATTGTTCTTTAGGTTTGAACAATGTTTTATTCACAGATGAAAGAGAACCTAGTGAACCACCTGTAATTAAAATAAGTTTACAAGACAGTCAAGAGCTAAACTTGGATTTTAAAAAAGGTAAATTAATATTTGGGTAATTTGGTTCTCTTAGATTGTGGATCTAAAAATTACAATAATTCCTTCAGAATTTGGAAGCAGAAATATGTCATTTTTTTAAAAAAAATCATTAATATGCAACTTACTATATCTTAAAGGCTACACTATTATAAACAGATATGCAGGAACACAGAAAAATATTATGTGTTATATTGTTTTGGTGAAAAAGAACATTGGGAAGACAGGAAATCTGTCTGTCTGTTCTGCCATCCCTGGCACGTGGCTACCATACAATTCACAATATGGCTGCTGGTGCTCCAGCCATCACATCAGTGTGCCTCACAGGAAGAGAGAAAGACAAGGACACAAACTGGCACTCCCCCCAGCTGAGTGATTCCTCTTTACAGAGATCACAGAGAGGCTCACCAAGTAATTCTGCTCGCATCTTAATCATGGGCCACCCAATTTATGAGGGAAGTTGGACGATGCAGTGTTTCTAGCTGGGCACATTGCTGACCCCAACGGAATCAGGGAAGTTACTAAGGAAGAGGAGAATGGATGGATATTGGGTGGAAACTAGCAGCTTTTAGCACATTTAGTACCTTTACTGGCTACATCTGCCTCACCAGCCCCCCTTCCCAAGACCACGGGTCCTTGCTTCTCCATCACTGAGAACAGATGTCTCACTTCATGGCAGGGCGGGCAGCAGGCAGCTGCTCTTCGAAGGCCCTTTGGAGGTTTTCTGGGCTGGGATCCACTGGGCTCTGGCGGGCGACTCTGATGCAGGGAGCCTTGGGGCAGCAGCTCAGGAGGCACCCCTGGAAAGACAGAGGGAGAGGAGTCAGGCCGAGCTGCCAACCACCTGTCTCACTCACATCATGCTGCTGCCTGTGAGCCAACTCAGCCGTGTAAGGAGACACTCCGGATGCCACGAGGGCAAGAATCAAGTGTAACACTTGAGAAGCCAGACTGTGTCACCCTTTCTTCTGTCCCTTGAACTTGCCTATTTCCTGTCTTCTTATTGACCCGTGTAGTCTCATGCTTGAAGTTGGAAGTATTCACCTAGAAGTTCCCTAGATACTTCTGTTTTCTGGAATCGTTTGGTGCCTACCCCTTCGCCCTGGCTTTCTGGTTTTGACTCCTGTGACTTCTTGCCTCATTCACTTTTATTCTGATGTATTGGCTCTAAGCCACTGCTCTGATATTTTGTGATTCCTGACCTGACATTTCCTTCCAAGTCTATTTCCCCTTTCTTCCAGCATGTGAATGCTAACACAAAGATCGCACTTTGTTGGGTCAGGTATTAGCAATCGTGCTCTGTTGCAAATAGAATTGTCTGCTAAAAGTATTAATAGCGTTAGCTTATTAACTTGTTTTATGTTAGACTCAATAGAAGAGGTAACTGCAGATCATCCAGAGGTCCTTTCTGTAATAAATGACTTGTTGAAAATAACAAAGGATATGAACTTTGAACATCCATATGAAAAATATGCTGAAATCTTAGAGGAAGTCCTGGAAGAGGTAAGAAATCTAGGCTGTTCATTTATATCACTAATTTAACAGAAACGGAGAAAATGTCAACCTAGTATATATATAATTAATTTAGTCTCATTTGACAGTATTAAAATCTGTAGCTTTCAACATTCATGTGCATTTTATAGTCAACATTGTTATGTGTAATGTACCTCAGTTTATAATTGCTTAGGCTCTTTGGTAATTTTTATTTATCAACAATTATGCTATATCATTTCATAGCTTTGAAATTAATTCTTTTTATTTTAAATTCTTTATTGTTGAACGTATTACATGCCTCCTTTTTAATTTAATATACTTTTTTATTGTTGATAGTTTTACAGATGTCTCCTATTCTTCCCTTGGACCACCCCTCTTCCCAGCCCCCACCCACCCCTCCAGATCTTCACTACCCTATTGCCCGTGTCCATATGCATAACCCATGAATGCAGACAATAGGGTGGTGAAGGCTGGAGCAGAACCCCGTTGGAGGAGGGCAATGAGGGGGGAAAAGAGGGGACATCTGTAACACTCTCAATAATAAAGACTTTTAAACTTTTTAAAAGTTTATTCCCGCCTTGACCGGTTTGGCTCAGTGGATAGAGCGTTGGCCTGGGGACTGAAGGGTCCCAGGTTCGATTCCAGTCAAGGGCATGTACCTTGGTTGCAGGCACATCCCTGGTGGGGGGTGTGCAGGACGCAGCTGATCGATGTTTCTCTCTCATTGATGTTTCTAACTCTCTATCCCTCTCCCTTCCTCTCTGTAAAAAAATCAATAAAAATGTTTTTTAAAAAAAGTTTATTCCTTATTCTCTTTGACCTAAAAACACATTTTCTAGGAATCTAACCTAAAGAAATATATATTTGGACAAAAATTTATATGTACAGATATTCATCACATGAGCTCAATGTTATAATAAAATTATAAATTATATAAATATTTAACAGTAAGAAGATGATTAAACAAATTAAGACTTACTCATTACTCATTAGATAAAATACAATAAAATCATTAAATTTTTTTCCAAAAAAGTGAGATGGGGAAACTATATGTTGATATTGGTTTAATTTTCATATCTTTGAAACTTGGATAGTAAAATTTTTATGAATCATTTCTATTTTTTCCATATTTATTGATAAATAATTGACGTATAATGTATTAGTTTAAGGTGTACAACATAATGGTTTGGTATATATACTAGAGGCCCAGTACACAAATTCGTGCATGGGTGGGGTCTGGCCAGCCCGCCCCCGATCAGGGGGTGGGAGGGCCAATTGGGGGCAGGGTTGGCTGGGGTGTGGGGCCACGAACAATGGGCCAGGCTCGCGCCCTGGTGGAACTCCCGGTCCAGGGGGAAATTTGCATATTAGCCTTTTATTATATAGGACTAGAGGCCTGGTGCACAAAAATTTGTGCACTCTGGGGGGGGGGGGAGGTCCCTCAGCCCTGTCTGTGCCCTCTCGCAGTCTGGGACCCCTCAGGGGATGACCACCAGCTGGCTTAGGCCCACTCCCCAGGGGAATGGGCCTAAGCTGGCACTCAGACATCCCTCTGGCAGCCCAGGAGCCTTGGGGGATGTCCACTTGCCAGCAGGGAGCTGGCCTAAGCTGCAGTTGGACATCCTTAGCTCTGCTGAGGAGGCAGGAGAGGCTCCCACCACCACCACTGTACTGGCAGCCATCAGCCTGGCTTGTGGCTGAGCAGAGCTCCCCCTGTGGGAGCTCACTGTCCACCAGGGGGCAGCTCCTGCATTGAGCATCTGCCCCCTGGTGGTCAGAGTGTGTCATAGTGACCTGTCATTCCCAGTCTTTCTGCTGTTAGGGTCAATTTGCATATTACCCTTTTATTATATACTAGAGGCCCGGTGCACAAAAATTTGTGCACTCGGGCGGGGAGGGGGGTCCCTCAGCCCGGCCTGTGCCCTCTCGCAGTCTGGGACCCCTCGGGAGATAACGACCTGCTGGCTTAGGCCTGCTCCCGGGTGGCAGAGGGCAGACCCAATCCCTAGGTGCAGCCCCTGGTCGGGCTCAGAGCAGGGCTGATTGGGGAGTTGGGGTGCCCGCCCCTGTCATGCACAGAGCAGGGCGGATCGGGAGGTTGCGATGCCATCCCTAGTCACGCTCAGGGTAGGGCCGATTGGGGGGTTGGGGCACCGCCCCCTGTCACACTCAAGGTAGGGTCGATGGGGAGGTTGCGGCGCCACCCCCTGTCACGCACAGAGCAGGGCCAATCAGGGGGTTGGGGCACTGCCCCCTGTCACAGAGCAGGGCCCATCAGGGGGGCTGAGGCTCCATACCCTGTCACGCACAGAGCAGGGCCCATCAGGGGGGTTTGCAGCTGGTCACACCCCCTTCAGGGTGGGGGTCCCCATTGGGGTGCCTGGCCAGTCTGGGTGAGGGGCTGAGGGCTGTTTTCAGGCTGGCGGGTGACTGAAGCTCCCAACCACTCCTTTTTTTTCTTTTTTCTTTTTATTCTGGGCCAGCTTTAGCTCTGAGGCTTGGCTCCAGCTCTGAGGCCTCGGCTGCTGAAAGCAGGTATCTGGTTTGTTTGGGTTCTATAATCGATACACTGTTTCAACTCTAGCTCTGAGATCCCGGCTGGCTGAAAGCAGGTTTCTGGGGTTTTGTTTAGCTTCTATATTTGTAACAATGTTTCAAACTGCAAGCTCAGAGGCCGGCAGCGGCAGGCGGGGAACGTTGGAGTCCTCCGTCACTGAAGCAAGCAAGCCTCATGTTCGCTTCAAGCTGCCTGGCTGCCGGCCACCATCTTGGCTGGCAGTTAATTTGCATATCGCCCTGATTAGCCAATGGGGATGGTAGCGGAGGTACAGCTAATTACCATGTTTCTCTTTTATTAGTGTAGATGATAGAGGTCTGGTGCATGGGTGGGGGCCAGCTGGTTTGCCCTGAAGGGTGTCCCGGATCAGGGTGGGGGTCCTGCTGGGATGCCTGGCCAGCCTGGGCTGTTTGCAGGCTGGCCACAGCCCCTTCAGGGTGGGAGTCCCCGCTGAGGTGCCTGGCCAGCCTGGGTGAGGGGCTTATGGCTGTTTGCAGGCTGGCCACAGCCCCCAGCTACCCAAGCTCCCAGTGGAGGCTGGCTGGAAGCAGGTATCTGGGATTTATTTATCTTCTATAATTGAAACTTTGTTGCCTTGAGCGGAGGCCACAGCCAGCCAGGGCAGGCAGGAAACTTGGCTTCCTCCATTGTCGGGGCAACCAAGCCTCCTGCTTGCTCCAGCTCCATGGCTGCCGCCCGCCATCTTGTTTGGGTTAATTTGCATATAGTCACTCTGATTGGCTGGTGGACGTGGCTTGGGGCATAGCGGAGGTGTGGTCAATTTGCATGTTTCTCTTTTATTAGATTAGATGTGCAAAATGATTATCACAATAAGTTTAGTTAACGTCCATCACCTCACATACTTTTTTGTCTGTGTGTAGTAATAACTTTTAAGACCCACTCTCAGCAACTTTCAAATGTACACTGCAATATTGTTAATTATAGTCACCTTGTTGTACATTACATCCCCAGGACTTACTCATTTTATAACTGGTAGTTTATACTTTTTAACTCCCTTCACATATTTCTCCCCACCCTCACCTTAACCTCTGGCAACCACCAATCTATTCTCACTTTCTATGAGTTTAGTTCTTTTAAATTCCACATATAAGTGAAATCATACAGTATTTGTCTTTGTCGTATTTATTTCACTTATATTTCTTCCCTATCACTTTTTTACTTACTGATTCTCGTATGTTACACATTTCAAAGTGTTTAAATTTTTTTTCTAAAGACTTGCTTATAGTTTCTCTTTTAAAATTAAGTAGCTTTCTTTTTTTTCTGAAAGTCAGAAGAACTCAGAATATAGTTAAGGTTCACAGAAAGTGATGTATCAAGGTAGTATCCTTGACTTGTCTAGCTATGATGGTAATAATATCAGTGTGTCATTTTTTATAGGTAGTTAAACAAACCAAGAACAGGTTTTCTGGTGCCCCAAAATCTGGAGGATGGATAGTGGACAACTGCCCTGTTACGAAAGAACTGTGGACAACCTTAGTGGAGAAAGGAATTACACCAGATTTAGTAATCTATTTGTCAGATACAGAAACCAACGGTTGGTAAATATTTATCATGTAAATTTGAAAGTGAAGTTTTTATTGCTGGTAATATTTTTAGTTAAAATATAAAGTGGAAAACTCTCCACCCTTACTAGGTACAAATACCACTCCAGCAATCCCTTTATGCCCTGAGGGGTACACAAAATGAGGCAGCCATCCATGGAGTAGGTGACCAGGATAGAGTAGTAGGGCCCTGGAGATCCCAGCAAGCCCTTGTAATTATGCTTTGGAGCTGAGAATTTAACAGCCCCCTCTCAGTCAGCACTATAAATTCTAAATGAAATATATATATACTAGAGGCCCAGTGCAAGAGATTCATGCACTGGGGAGGGGGTCCCTCAGCCCGGTCTACGCCCTCTCGCAGAGAGCGGGCCTAAGCCAGCAGGCAGACATCCCCCGAGGGATCCTTAGCACTACCACAGAGGCAGGAGAGGATCCCACCACCACTACTGCGCTCGCCAACCGTGAACCTGGCTTCTGGCTGAGCGGTGCTCCCCCTGTTGGAGCGCACTGACCACCAGGGGGCAGCGTCTGTGTTGAGCGTCTGCCCCCTGGTGGTCAGTGTGCATCATAGCGACCAGTCATTCCACTGTTCAGTCCATTTGCATATTAGGGTTTTATTATATAGGATGTATATTAGACTGAGGGCAAAGATCATTTATTAGTCCTTCTTCATCTCAAATGGGACATATTAAGCACATAAAGACAGCAGAACTAAATTTTAATTATTCTGTTACTTTGTACAAAGCTATAATAATCAAAACAGTGTGGTACTGGCATCAAACCAGATGCATAGGCCAAGGGAACTGAATAAAGAGCCCAGCAATAAACCCACATATATATGGTCAACTAATCTTTGATAAGGAGGCCAAGAATATTCTGTCATATGCATTTTAGGAGGGAAATATATTACATTTTTTCATGTTTTTGTTATTTATGACATGCCAATATATATATATTTTAAAAATGATTTAAGGTGGTCTTTTAATATTTTCAAGAATCTGGGCTCTATTTAAATAAATGCTTAAAGGAAAATATATTTGGATATAGGCAGAATTCATTTTTATTGTTAATTTTCAAAATGTATCTCACTATACTTTATAGATTTTCAAAATTAATATTATTCTGTTTATATTTCAGGAAAATATTTACTTAATAGACTGTATTTAAAGAATAAAGCTGAAATTGACGCTAAGATATTCGAGAGATTACTAGATGAACTAAAAAAGAAAAAAAGAGAGGAAGAAACTTTAAGGTAAATTTGCCTGGCATAGTAAAACAGGTTAATGAATCTTTTATGAAGCTGTTAAGTATCTACTCATAATTTATATTTATGAAATTTCCTTAATATCAAAATGGTGATCTAATTGATCCAATCCTTCCTATGTAATAAAAGGCTAATATGCAAATTGTCCCCTCGGGAGTTCAACTGGGAGACCAGGAGTTCAATCACTCACTATGACATGCGCTGACCACCAGGGAGCAGCACAGAACATGGCGGGCGACCAGTGGCGGCAGTGGGGTGCTGAGGGAGCAAGGGAAGGAGGAGGCGGGAAGGTGGGGAACCTGATTGGCTCTGATCGCCAGCCAGGCCTAGGGACCCTACCCATGCAAGAATTTCATGCATCAGGCCTCTAGTTGTAAATAATTCCAAGAAAAACAGCGATTTCACAAATACTTCCAAAATCTGTAAAGTACAGAGTTGTGGATGTTTTCATGGTGCCAAATCAAATTTATCCTAAATCAAATATCTACTCTCAAGAGACATTGCAAAAAATAAATAAATGAACAGATAGGATTTTTTTCTTTTTACCATATTTATATGTGATTTTAAAAACTTCGCTAACTAGAATCCATAAATTGAAAAAATAACATGCTAAAAAGCAAATGAAAATACACTTGTGTGATATGACTAAAATCCAAAGCCCAACTAAGTTCTAATAAGGAAAACAAAAGACTAGTTACTTACTACACAGGTTTAACATTGAGTTTATTCTCCAATCAGGTTGCGATGAAAAAGGTTTAGGAATATGAACTCATATCTATCTCTTCATGACTGGGGTCAAGGCTAAACTTTAATAAACTATAAGTTCTTCAGAATCGGGACTAAAGTATAATTAGGAACAGTGACTTGATTTGCTAAGTGTTCTTCCTTGCTGAAATGTGCTGTTAAATACTTTAAGTTTTACCCCTGGGTTTCTTACTTCTCAGTCACAAAAGCCAAGACATTTAAGAACTAAATTTCTTTATGTTAATCCACCTGTAGGAGCTTTCTCAAATGCTATTTCCTTTTCCCCTTCAGATATTAGCAATTTGAACTGGGATTTAGGAGAGCTCTTTAAACTCTTAAAATATGAAGCTGTTATCTAGGTTACTGGCGGGTAGGAGGCATGTAACTAATAAGTGTGTGTCAGAGGATTTTCTTCAGGGTTCATTGTTCATCTACGTCAGCAATTTTCAACCTTTTTCATTTCATGTCACACACAAATTAATTACTAAAATTCTGCAGCACACCAAAAAATATATGTTTTGCTGATCTGACAAAAAATAGGTAAAATATTTAATCATTCACACCAGATTGCTGTTGTGTTGGCTATTATTATTTTTTTATTTAACAATCTAGGGGAAAAGAGGTCAGTGCTCCTGACTTAGTCGGATATTGCATTTTTTAAAAATTTTTGCAGCACACTGGTTGAAAATCACTGATCTAAGTTAACCATTTCTTTAGGAACTTAATACAAAAATATACAAAGTATAATTTAGTTAGATTAATTAATGACATTATTTGATATGTGGAGTAAAAAGTATTAATTCAGAGAATAATTACAAACTGATTTACATTTATTTATAGCATTTAAAATTTTTGTTACAAATGGAGCTACAATATTTAGGATGTAAGAGATTACCTAATTTCTTTCCAGTGTATGAGAAATAGTCAAATATTTGAGAACAGATGAAGATGTCAACATAAGAATAAAACAAAGTGTATGTGATTTCTAGACTGAGGTCTGCTACATTTTAAATAGACAAAAAATACATACATCTATACTCTCTTAAAAGGGGAAAGAGATCTCCACTTTCTCACAACTACCTACCTTCACCTTCCTATTACCATATGGAATTTTCTGAGCTATCTCTATAGTCAATTTTTACTTCTTTTGATTCTACATTTTTATATCTTTATAAAGCTCTTGATATCAAAGACTTACCCAGACAGAAGCAGACTTTTCTATGTTTCTATATATCACCTTTTAAAATTCAACATAAGTATTTCAAAAGTCAACTTCTTTTTCATATTATGCAGAAAATGAAATCTGAAATGGAACACACACAAAAATGGTCAGAGTCTCATGTAAATGCCTTGCAAGTTGGTTAGGAAACAAATAAATTTAACAGGCTTAATTAAGAATTTCATCTTGAAGCCAGATATCTAAAGACATGCAGAATTCTACAGCTTTTCCAGCATCAGTTTCCAAATGTGCCCGTCAAATGCAGGATAATGTCTGTCATCACCATTAGTTTTTGACTCGTATGTCTGGTTTATCGAAGTGTCTAATAACGGGCAGCAAATTCTTCTTCATTCTTGTCAGGTGTCAGGTTCTTAGCAGCAACATTCCTCAACTAGGTTTTGGATAAGGGGACTCTCACAAAAGAGCCCTGTTTGAACTGCCGATCACACAGTTAAAATGGGAAAGGAGGGTAGAAACAAGACCCAGCCATCTCAGAGGTCTGGACACAAACAAAGAGAACTCAGATTTCACTAAGACTGTAGGCTGGATAACAAGAAATATACCTGTTGGGAGAAGAGGTGTGGTAATGTTGTTTTTTGGGTTTTTTGTTTTGTTTTGTTTTTAATTAAATCTTTATTGTTCAGATTATTACAGTAGTTCCTCTTTTTTCCCCCCATAGCTCCCCTCCACCTGGTTCCCACCCCAGCCTCTGCCCTTACCCCCACCACTGTCCTCATCCATAGGTGTACGATTTTTGTTCAGTCTCTTCTCCCACCCCCCACACCCCTTTCCCCCCAAGAATTGTCAGTCCATTTCCTTTCTATGCCCCTGAATCTATTATATTCACCAGTTTATTCTGTTCATCAGATTTTTTCTTCACTTGATTTTTAGATTCACTTGTTAATAGATGTGTATTTGTTGTTCATAATTTGTATCTTTACCTTTTCTTCTTCGTCATCTTCTTAAAGAATACCTTTCAGCATTTCATATAATACTGATTTGGTGGTGATGAACTCCTTTAGCTTTTTCTTAATTGTGAAGCTCTTTATCTGACCTTCAATTCTGAATGATAGCTTTGCTGGATAAGGTAATCTTGGTTGTAGGTTCTTGCTATTCATCACTTTGAATATTTCTTGCCACTCCCTTCTGGCCTGCATAGTTTCTATTGAGAAATCAGCTGACAATCGTATGGGTACGCCCTTGTAGGTAACTAACTGTTTTTCTCTTACTGCTTTTAAGATTCTCTCTTTGTCTTTTGCTCTTGGCATTTTAATTATGATGTGTGTTGGTGTGATCCTCTGTGGATTCCTTTTGTTTGGGGTTCTCTGTGCTTCCTGGACTTGGAAGTCTATTTCTTTCACCAGGTGGGGGAAGTTTTCTGTCATTATTTCTTCAAATAGGTTTTCAATATCTTGCTCTCTCTCTTCTTCTGGCACCCCTGTAATTTGGATGTTGGTACACTTGAAGCTGTCCCAGAGGCTCCTTACACTATCTTGGTATTTTTGGGTTCTTTTTTCATTTTGCTTTTCCAGTTGGGTGTTTTTTGCTTCTTCGCATTTCAAATCTTTGACTTGATTCTTGCGATCCTCTAGTCTGCTGTTGGAACTCTGCATAATATCCTTTATTTCAGTCAGTGTATGCTTAATTTCTAGTTGGTCCTTTTTCATAACCTCGAGGGTCTCACTAGATTTCTTGAGGGTCTCACTACATTTATCGGCGGTTTCTAGAAAATTCTTGAAAAACCTTAGAACCGTGGTTTTGAACTCTATATCCAGTAGTTTGCTTTCCTCCATTTCTGTCATTTGTGACCTGTTTCTTCGTCTCTGCATTTTGGGTGCTTCCCTGTGTTGATAGAGTGGCTTTCTGTGCTAGGTGTCCTATAGGGCCCAGTGGCTCAGCCTCCCCAATTACCTGAGGTGGACACTCTTGGTGCACCCTTTTGTGGACTTTGTGCACTTTCTTGTTGTAGTTAAGCTTTGATTGTTGTAGATATCACTGAGAGGAATTGACCTCCAGGCCAATTGGCTGTGAGAATCAGCTGTGTCTGTGGTGGGAGAACTTCTGTGCTGGAGACACCCTTCCGAGGCAAGACTTGCTTCAGTGGGGCTTTGGTGCTCACTGAGTCTGCCCCCTGAGTGTGTCCCCTATGGATCTGAGGAGTTGTAATCTGGATGGTCCCACTCTGACCACTGGGTACACTGGCTCTTGGATCTCTAAGGAGGTGCTAATTTAGCCTCTGCCTGAGGCAACCCAGAGCTACAGAGAGATCTACAGATTCCTCTTCTTTGTTTGGGGTTTGGAGGTGCCCAGATGAGGCCCAGCTGTGAAGCAATGCAAGCTGCTGTGGGGCCTTGGGCCATCTTTTGGAAGTTCTGGGTCTCTCTGACCCAGCTGCAGTTTGTTAGGAAATTTTCAGATTGCAAAGTGCCAGGCCTTTCATATGCAAAAGCCTCTGAGCACAGCTTTGGTGGGGCGGGGTCTCAGGAAATCAACTGGGCGGAGCAAACAGCTATGGCTGATCCTCGGCCCTGCTCTAAGAGGCCCCAGGTCTCAGTGTCCCGCAGTAATCGCTGCAAGCACCTCTGAGAGAAAGCCGCCCTCAAGTTCTGACCGATGCCAGACAGTCCAGTTTCTCCCCGTATGAGTCTTGGGTCCCCAGAGACTTGCCTGGAACTGGAGTTCAGAGCAGTTGGGAGCTTGTTACTCCCTCCCGATTGAAAAAGACAACCGTGTCCTCAGTTGCCAGCGCTTTCCGCGTGGGCCTCCGTACCTCTGCACTTTACTTCCTCTGAGTCTCAGTGTGCTTTTCTCTTTCCTTCTAGTTGTGGAATTTCCACTCAGCCAGCCTTCCTGTGGTTCTGGATGATGTCCATTTTGTCTTTTAGTTGTCTTTTATTTGTGCGAGGCAGCAATTTCTGGTGTTTACCTATGCCGCCATCTTGGTTTCTCATCGGTTATGTTGTTTTTTAAAATATGTTTTTATTGATTTCAGAGAGGAAGGGAGAAGGGGAGAGGGATAGAAACATCAATGATAAGAGGAATCATTGATCAGCAAACTCCTGCACACCCCAAACTGGGGATCGAGCCCCCAACCTGGGCATGTGCCCTGATGGAGAATAGAACCATGACCTCGTGGTTCATAGGTTGACGCTCAAACACTGAACCACACCGGCTGGGCTGTGTGGTAATGTTTTTTGAAGAGAATATATGTGACTAGATTTTCAAAGGAAGGGGAAAGGGATGTAAAGAATGCTGAATGTAAGAGAATGACAGGCCTATAGAACAGTCTTTTTTTTTCTTTATTGATTAAGGTATTACATATGTGTCCTTATCCCCTCATGGCCCACCACCTCCCCACTCATGCCCTCAAGACTGCCCCAGCCCTGGCCATTGTGGCCCAGAGCATTGGCCCTTGCACTGAAGAGTTGCAGGTTCAGTTTCCAGACAAGGGCACATACCTGGGTTGCAGCAGGCTCGATCCCCAACCTGGCTCTCTCACATTGATGCTCTCTCGCTTTCCTCCCTCCCCTCCACTCTCTCTCTAGAAATAAATGCAAAAAATATCCTCAGGTGAGGATTAGCAACAACAATAATAACAAAAGACTTTCCTAGAGTATGTTGCTGATATGAATGGGCTCTACTTTACTTACCTAGTCCCCTATTACCTAGTCCCCTATTGAATACTTGGAACAGTTGTTCTTAAGGTTATTTTTTAAAGATGCAGTCATTTTTAAAAGAATGCAACATTCTTATACATGTTTCCTTGTGCAATAGCAAGCTGATTCCTGAAGGGTAAATTCCTAGATATAAACTTTCTAGATCAAAAGTATACACATTTTCATTTTTAATAAATATTGCCTTTCTGCACCATTTCACTAACTTTTTTATACCTGTCTTCACCATTAAACAGGTTTAGTGCTTCCATTATAATGAAAAACAGATTCCCTCCAGATACTGAAGTTTCCATATTCTAAATCTCTTTAAATTTCACATAATTGCTCTGACTACAAAGATCACTTTACAAATTTTCAATTTATTTAATATAGAAAAAAATTTAAATGCAAAAAAATTAAATAAAATTTAAAACTCATCATGCCATCATCCAGGTAACTAATATTAACAATTTGATTAGTTTTCTTCTAGTATTTTTATCATTGTTTACATACATTTAAAACACAAAATTAAAATTCTATTATATTTCATTTAAAATTATATTGTGAACATTTCTTATTTAATAAGAAGGAAAAAGTGGTACAATTTCTCATATTTGCTTTTTCAACTAGAGAGTACTTTATTAATTTTTAAAGGTTTATTAATTTTTAAAGGTTTCCTAATATGCTTGACTGGCATAGCTCAGTAGTTGAGGGTCGACCTATGAACCAGGAGGAGGTCACTGTTCGATTACTGGTCAGGGCACATACCTGGGTTGCCGGCTTGATCCCCAGTATGTGGCGTGCAGAAGGCAGCTGATCAATGATTCTCTCTCATCATTGATGTTTCTTCCTTCCTCTCTGAAATCAATAAAAAAAATTAAAAAAAAAAAAGGTTTCCTAATAAATAGTTACAGCTTTTCAAAGTGCAACATTCCAAATTGTCTTAAAAAAAAACAAACAAACAAACCCTGAAAATTAACTGACCTCTATATGAAAAAATTAAACATTTACATTATGTAGTAAAAATATAATGAATTTTATGAATGGTTTTCTCTTTATTTTTACCACTCAGCCTTAAATTCTGTAATTTTGTGAAATGTCTGAATTTCCAAGATAATTAAATTTTGAACTTTTTTTAATTTCAGAAAAATCAAAGAAGAGGCATTGAGAATAGAAGAAGAAAATCAAAAGCTCTTTGCAGCTCTGAATGTGAAAACAAAAGGCAAACATAGATTGATATGGCTAATAATGTGTTATTTAATTTTGTTTTATTATTGCAAGCAACCTCAGTATTTTGGTGAATTATAGAAAGGGTGACCACATTTCTTTATTTGCCCATGAGAGTCCAGGTTTATGGCTATGGTCCTGAAGTATTTATTTGACCCGCTTTCATTCTCAATATGTTCCAATTTGGATAAAAATTATATGGTCAATGGAGTAATGGATCATAGAAAAAAGACTCCTGACACAGATGCCTGCTCATGCACATTAAGAGTTCAGTTCTTAACTTGGAATCTATGGATAAAATTCAGGAGTCTATGAAACTGATTGAAAAAATAATTACAACTTTATTTTAATTTTAACTAAAATTTAGTTTTTCCTTCAACTAGTAATTCATATAGGTAACAGACCACAGTAGTATTAGTGATAATCTAACTTTGTCACCAATAGAAATGAAGACATCACATTACAGTTTTATATATCTTGTTTATGCTTATCCTGATTCCAAAATTATGGTAGTTGTTAAGCCAGCTTCTGGTTCTTGTTGTTTAATGAATTAGTAAAGGTGCACTATTTTCTAATAGCACAATTTATTTTTGAAATCTTGATGACTTCCTTCAATGTAGTTGACTTCTTATGTATTTTGTTTTATGAGATTGAAAGCATTAATCTAAAAAGGTGTCCATAAGCTTTATCAGACTGCCAAAGGAATCCATGGCTCAAAAGCGTGAGGAGTATCTGTTTCAGTTGTCCATTGCTGTGAAAAAGCCACCCCAAAACTGTGAAACAACCCCCTTTTTACTATACACAAATTCTGCGGGTCAGGAATTCAGGCAGGGCTTATCTCTGCTCCCCAAGGTCCTCGTTCTGACTTAAGGAGCCACCTTGGAGGTGGATCCGCTGGCCCCACACAAACCTTCAAGTGACTGTGGCCCTGATTAACTTCTTTCTGATGACTTCCTGAGAGACCCAGGGTCAGAACCACCGATAAGTCACTCCCAAATCCCTGACTCCAGAAACTAGGATAATACATGACTATTGTTTTAACAACTGTACAGTGACTTTATTGATTTCAGAGAGGAAGGAACTCAGATTATCCACGAGGGTACTAGAAAAAAAGTATTAGAACTTTTTACTTTTTTTTTTTAACCAAAAGAAAGAATTTAGTTGAAAGACATTTTGAGTTTCTGGTGTAGAGTACTTAACTTCCAACCCAAACCCTGGTAGGTTTTAGCAAATTCTGCTTCTTCCTCTTGTGTATCACCATAAAACTCTCCATGTAACACAAAAGATTCACCACATTCTAAGGCACATATTTGGAAGCCACCGGCTCTGCGGTCCCGCTCAGACCTTGAGATCTAAGGACACTTCAGGATACTTTTCTCTGGGGACTTCATCACCCAAATTTAGATGAAAATTCCGGTTCCAGAGGTATCACACACCACTGCAATGTGATTCTTGGAAGGCACTCACTGGGAGGAAGGAAGTCCCACAAGAATCCAGAAGTCACGTTCATTTGTTTTTTCACAGCATCTTTGCATATAAATTACCTTGTTTTTCAGTCAATTTCATAACATAGTAAAGGAATTGGAAGATGGATTTTCTGACTCCACCATTCACCCCATCCTTTTCTTGAAAGATTTCCATGCATATATTTCTGATAATGGTCATCAGCAACTACAGAAAATTTGAAGTTATGCTTTCTGAATTTCCATTTAACATATGGATTAGCATACTCTATTATTCGTTATTAGCTAACAGAAAATATAGAGTCTATCCCAGTGCTGCATAATGCAAGCCACATATGTAACTTTAAATTTTCTAGTAGCCAAATAAAATGTAAAAAAGAAACAGGTTAAATGAATTATATTTAATATGCAATATCCAAAATACTATTTTGACATGAATGCAAAAATTATATATGCTATAGTTGACATTCAATTTTTAATATATTTTTTAAAAGATTTTTTTATTGACTTTTAGAGAGGAAGGGAGAGGGAGAGAAATAGAGAAACACTGATGTGATGGACATGGACAATAGTGTGGTGATTGCCGGAGGTGGGATGGAGGTGGAAGAGGGCCTGGAGGAGATAAATGGTGATGGGGGAGGATTAAAAAAGAAAAAAGAGTCCTGCTGGTGTAGCTCAGTGGTTGAGCATTGACCTATGAACTAGGAGGTCACAGTTCATTTCTGGTCAGGGCAAAAGCCCAGGTTACGGGCTTGATCCCCAGAAGGGGACATGCAGGATGCAGCCAATGATTCTCTCACATCATTGATGTTTCTCTCTCTCCCTCTTCCTTCCTCTCTGAAATCAATAAAAAATATATTTTTTTAAAAAAAGAAAGAAGGAAACATGGATGTGAGAGGGAAACATCACAACCCAGGTATGTGCCCTGACTGGGAATCTAACCAGCAACCTTTCGATGCACAGGACGACACCCAACCCACTGAGCCACACTGGCCAGGACTACATTCGATGTTTCATTCTAAATCTTTGAAATCCATCGTGTATGTTATGCTTATGATGCCCCTCAGTCTGGACTAGCCACATTTTAGGGGCTCAACAGCCACCTCATGCAGTGGCTACATATCAGACAGTGCACGCAGCTCTAGCCATTCCCTCTTTGAATGGACACTGGAGCCGTGGCCATCTTTTTACTGTTACAATACTCAGGGCTACTGAGAACATTCCTTGTTTTCAATGAACCCTTAGGCTGGTGCTCCCATAGCACTCTGAGTCTGTGGCTATCATCCTTTACCACTACATTTTAATAGGTAAAATATATGGAAAATGTATCTCTCCCTCCTGAAACCCCCTGCGCCGGAGGACAGGGCGCCACTCTTTACTCTTTGTGTGGGTCTCAGCACTTATCAGAGTGCCTCGCACCCAATTAATATTTCTGACCTAATCTGAACAATAATTTGTTTCTTCTCATTTTCTCTAGAGGTCGACGAGGCTGACCTTGAGGCTTTTGGGGATGTTGAAGGTGAGGAGGGTGACATTCCTGAAGTGTCTGAGGCCCTTGAGGAGACCGGGGGGCTCTTAGCAGAGGAGCCTGAAGCTTCCGAGGTTCAGGAACCAGAACCTGAATCAGGTTAGACTTCATTGACAGCCATGTTCTTAGTTCTACTCGTGTCCATTGGGGTGTGTGTGTGCGTGTGTGCGTGTGTATACTTGTGTATATGTTAAGAAAAAGGAAACAGACTAAAAAGGAGATGAGCCCACCCCCGCCCTGAGAACAGCCACTTATTTCCAATCCCACGGTTTGAAGTGTCGCAGGAAAGCCGACGCTGCCCCGCCCATCCTTGTGCTCAGGAGCAGGGCTGCCTACGTCATTGGTGGGGTATGTTGTCAAAAAGCAGGGAATGTGCCACTAATGGTACTAACATATAAAGCTTTTTTTTCCTTCTACAATCTCTCTCTCAATTTGTCATGGATTGATTTTTATTGCTATATGTCATTCTAAGTAAAGAAAAATTAAAAATCTAAATTATTAGCATGAATTTTACCATTCATCTTTATATTGTGCAAGGTCATTTTTAAATGAAAATACAAGAGCATTTACCTCATTTGCAGAACCACTGGAATTAACACAATTCATATTTGGCAGCTCGTACATGCATATGCATTTCGTTCTTACCAGGTTACTGGTAAGTTTTGTGTATAAAACTAACTCAGTTTTTTATTTCAGTTCTTAATATGCACATATTCTACCAACATTCTCGACCTTTAGCTTCCCAATGATGAAGGAAAGACTGAAAGAAAAAGGAACACTGGATTGTCCTCTTTTCCTTTCCTTCTATGTCATCATTTTCAGCCTAAGTGTTTAGCTAATACAGGAAAGTGACACAAGTAAGAAAGGCTATGATGGGGTTCCGTGGTCATTTGTGTCTCTCTGAATGCTATCACCTGCTTTCTGCATCTGAAGCAAGTTCTAGTTCAAAAGGAAAGCATGGTCTCTCAGCTGGGTCAGCATCTCCCCCTGCCTGCCCCCATCACTCAGGCATACTTACTCCTCCACATCATGGGTCCCCTGGAATTCTGGGGCATCAGGAACTCTCATGAGAATGAGATGACCAGGACTGGCTAACACATATTGTGCATATCTCTGTCCATATGCATGCTCTATTGTGCCATTGGAGCCTCTTTGGATTTTGTTTACAAAACGAAGTTCAAAGATAAAATTATTAAAAATTTCAGATTGACAACCAGAGAGCATTAAACTGAGGCCATTCTGCGTGAGAGACCGTGCAGCTGCCCAGGCCACACGGCCATGGCGCAGCCTGCTGCCGAGGTGCCGTTTGGCGGGTTGGCGCAGGGCCAGAAGGAGTCGTTGGGCAAAGAAAGTCACTCTCAAGGCTGGAGAGTGGGCTTAAAGCAGCAAGTTAGGGTACCCAGCATGTGGGAGTGAGGCTCACAAATGCTCCCAAGTACAGTTAGTATTGGATTTGAAACTAATGCTACAAATGAAAGGTCTTCAAATACCTGCAGCCAAATCCTCCTCTGGCAATTAAGGGCTAGGAATCTTCTGTCCGCTGGTAGAGGAACTAGGACGAAGGGGAGTTTTCACCCTGAGAAAACTCAAGTTCAACATAGATCATTTTTGCTACAGGAATTGGCATTAGCTTGATGAGGCAAAAGTATAAGATCACATAACCCTTGTGCCCAACAGAGGAGCTAGCAGGATGAAATCCTTCAGTTTCCTTTTAAGAGCCCCACGGCTCTATTGGCTTGTGTTCCCACCCAGAAACTTCAGTATTTTCTTCAGGACCTAACCAGTTAGGCTGACTCTTCTCCCACTCACCTACCTTTTGCAACAAGACAGGCCATAAAAGGAAAAGGGAGCCCACTGAATGGAAGAACATATTTGCCTATGATACATCTGATAAGGGGTTAATTTCCAAAATATATAAGGAACTCAGACAACTTAACAAAAGGAAGACAAACAATCCAATCAAAAATAGGACCTAAATATGCCCTAACCGGTTTGGCTCGGTGAATAGAGCATCGGCCTGCAGACTGAAAGGTCCCAGGTTCGATTCCGGTCAAGGGCATGTACCTTGGTTGCGGGCACATCCCCAGGAGGAGGTGTGCAGGAGGCAGCTGATCGATGTTTCTCTCTCATCGGTGTTTCTAACTCTCTATCCCTCTCCCTTCCTCTCTGTAAAAAAATCAATAAAATATATTTTTTTAAAAAATAGGACCTAAATAGACACTTGTCCAAAGTGGACATACAGAAAGCCAAGAGACATATGAAAAAAAAATGCTCAAAGTCACTAATCATCAGAGAGATGCAAATTAAAATGACAATGAGATATCACTTCACACCTGTCAGAATGGCTATCATCAACAAATCAACAAATGACAAGTGCTGGCGAGGATGTGGAGAAAAGGAACCCTCATGCACTGTTGGTGGGTTTGCAGACTGGTGCAACCATTATGTAAAACAGTAAGGCATTTCCTCAAAAAATTAAATATGGAACTGATATTTGATGCAGCAATGCCACTTCTGGGTATATATCCTAAGAAATCAGAAAAACCAGTCAGAAAGAATATATGCAACCCTATGTTCATAGCCCATTTTACAATAGCTAAGATTTGAAAACAGCCCAAGTGCCCATCAGCAGATGAGTGGATAAGAAAGCTGTGATACATTTACACAAAGGAATACTATGCAGCTGTAAAAAAGAAAGAACTCTTACCATTTGCAACAGCATGGATGGACCTGGAGAGTATTATGCTAAGTGAAATAAGCCAGTCAGACAAGTATCACAAGATCTCACTCATGTGGAATCTAATAAGCAAAATAAACTGTTGAACAAAATAGATCCAGACATAGGAGCATTGAATGGACTGTTGAATCTCAGAGGGAAGGCGGGGATGGAGGAATGGGATGGGAAGAAATTAACCGGGAACTTATGTGCATGTATGCACAGCCTATAGACACAGACAATAGTGTTGGGAAGGCCTGGGAGGGGCAGGTGCAGGGTAGAGAGAGTCAATGGGGAAAAAAGGAGGACATCTGTAATACTTTCAATAATAAAGACAAATTTTTTTAAAAAAAGGAAAAAAACCACCATAAAATACCAAAAATGAATAAGAGAAACAGACATCCATTAAATATGACACATCAAACATATTAGAGTTCTAATATCCACAAGTATCTCATAATTAGTATTTACTAATGTAACCGGTCTAAGGGATGATTTAGTTGTATTGCCTTTTATCTCCTTGCTGTTTCTCTCAGGGAACTTCCTTTTGCTGTTCTAAAGCCAGTCTCCCACTCCCTTTAGGGTCAGTTCTAGCTCATGCAGACATGACTGTTTTCAGTCAGAATTGTATGTACCATATGTCAGTTATCCTGGTCATGGGCCTTTAGTATATTTAAGAATATTCTTCATTTTCTGCCTTATACTATTAGATATTGTATGTCATACTTTACCTAACAAGAACTATATTTTCAATTAGACATAGTACACACAATTTAAACTATGTTTAAAATTTTTCTTTGTGCCAAAATTTTCATAAAAGAAACAATGTTTTAAAATTCAAACACTAACTATTAGTTTTCTTTCCTAAGAGTCTACTGAGGAAACTACAGTTGGAACAGAAATTCCAAAAGAATCCAAAGAGGGTCTGGAAATTACATTATCTCAAACAGGTTAGCTTATAAAATAAAAGTAGTTAGTGATAAAAGTGCTTTTCGTATTCTCCCACAAGGGTCTAGTCCAGCCGTGGGCAAACTACGGCCCATTTGAAATGAATAAAACTAAAAAAAAAAAAAAAAGACTGTACCCTTTTATGTAATGATGTTTACTTTGAATTTATATTAGTTCACACAAACACTCCACCCATGCTTTTGTTCCGGCCCTCCGGTCCAGTTTAAGAACCCATTGTGGCCCTCGAGTCAAAAAGTTTGCCCACCCCTGGGACTCTAGTCCCTTATTTTAGGCATAGTACCAACTTCCTACTTATTTCTTTGTACATTATATGCCAGTTGTGACGCATTATGTTTGATTTAGCTTATTACATCAGAAGTATATCTAACCATCTAATAACACTGTTTTTCATTAAATTTTATTTTATACATTTTATTATAGTTAAAGTTGCCATATGAAATACATAGCAATTATCCAAATAATTTTATTAATAGGTAATAATTCATCTACAGCCAATACATGGAATGGAGCATAATTAAAAATGAATTTATAAATATACATTATTGCTGAGGACAATATATGTATTTCTTTCATATGTTTTTAAAAAATTACAAAGTATAAATTATTTTGGCAATATGGGTCAAGATACCATGTTTGAAGCCACTTTTTTTTTCTTTCCTTTAATCTTTATTCAGAACTTGTACTACCTGAGTTTCCTGAAGACGCTTATCCTGATGTTCCTGAGATGGAACTACTTAAAGACGAGATAAAAAATTATGAGGCCAACTGGAAAAATCTGGAATTAATCATCAATGACTCTTTCTTTCCAATTTTCAAGTTGGAGATTGCTGGCCAGACTCCAGAGGAGCTATTTCAGAAAGCAGTGGAGACTATGGAAAGTAAGGGCTGTGATCCCACCATTGACTGTCAAGAGCGGGTGATATGAAAAGCACTGCAACTTTAAGTCTCTCTTGATGGCCCATAAAGGAGAACATTCAATATACCTAGGGATGATGTTTAAAATATTTAACAATTCTCATAGCACAGGCACATGCCAATCAGAACAGCTGAGGGGCACAAATAGCACTGGCCAAACTGGCCAGTTGTCCCTTTAAAAATTCTAAAGGCCAATTTGCATGCACATATAAACTAAGAGATCAGTCACTACAATTAATTCTCCTAATCTTTGACTACTGCAATATACGCTAATATTATTATTCTTTCAACTCTTTCTTTTTTATTTTTTTACAGAACCTTTTCAGTATGTTGCATGGGAGTTCAATATAGAAGACTATGAGGAAGAAACAGAAGACCTCCAGGCCGAAGCGGAGGTTGATGAGGATCTAGAAGAGGAGGAGGAGGAGGAGGAAGAGGTATGAGTCAGTGGGCCATGCTCCCTCGGAGGCTAGGGAAGTCTTTCCTTTCCGCTCCAGCTCCTTCACAGGGGTCACAGCACTGAAAGGGCGCGTGTCCAGAGCGGTAGTCGGCACTCTTGGACCCCAGGAAAGCAAGCAGGCTTCCTCGGTTTTACACATGAACATTTTCAACGCCCTTTGCCTCCACCCCAGCTTCCCTTGATCCCTGAAATGCCAGGGCTGCTTAGACAGTATGAAAAAATACGCCCATGAAAAAATAAAAGGGAAATCTTTTCCATTTTTTTCCATGGAAAAGCTATAGATATTAGAGAGAGAAATATTCTGTAAGTTCAACAGAAGTGGGTGCTTTATGTACAATACAGCAGTGGCATCTTTGAGGGGCTGCTCGCATGATACTAATGAGTGGTATTTTCAAACAGGAACAACTCATTTGCGGCCCCAGTCTACTCCCTGGTCACGAGAATTTTGATCACCATTCTCAATTGATAGCCACCTTATTCAGGCATCTATCAAATATAAAATAGGAAGTGATTTTTTTTTAAATTTGGGGCTTTATGAAGGAAACAAAATGATGTAATAAGTTAGATAATCATACAGCTGGAATTAAGTTAAACCCACATATATGTGTGTCAAACAACAAGTGTCATGTAGTGTGATTCTGATAACTTTCAGTACTTTAGCACTAAGGGACTGCTGAGCCCTTCAGTCAGGGTGGCTAACAGATGGTGGGCTTGTCCTGCCTGTACTGTGTTCAGGTTTTCTCCTTCAGTCGTCCTTCTGCCATTCTTCTGTATCCTGTTTTGTTTTGCAAGAGAATGTCTCTTTCTTGTGTCTGCAGGCAATTCTCAAGCTGTCTGTAATATTCAAAACTTGTCTTTTTAGGTACGGTCTTCATTGAAAATAGTGTCCCTACCTCACTTCCACTCTTCCTAATTTACCACAACACAAATCAGTTTTTCCTGTTGTATTAGTTTCCTCAGGCTGCCATAAGAAAGTGCCACAAACTGGGAGGCTTAAAATAACAGAAATTAATTCTCTTATGGTCTCGAGGGAGAATTCTGAAATCCAGGTGTCAGAATGCTCCCGCTGAGGCTCTAGGGAGAATCCTTCCTTTCCTCCTCCATCCTCTGGTGGCTCCAGATAGCCCATCGCTTACGGCTGCTTGACTCCCCTCTCTGCCTCTGTCTGTGCAGGATGGCCTTCTCCTCCTCGGCATCTTTTCCTCCTTTTAGAAGGACACTCGTCATGGGATTTAGGGACCACCTGGTAATAAATTGTAAATATTATCTTGAGATCCTTAATTACATCTGCAGAGATGCTTTTTTCAAACAAGGCCAATATGGCTGCCAGGAGTTCTTAGAAATTTTGACCTAGGAGGCAAAAGAACACTCTATCCTGACATCCACCTGGAAAATAGCAAGAAAGAACTTGGCTTCTCCCATCTCAGTCAGTTGCCCTGACTAATCATAGTAACTAGAGGACTGAGTGTGTGGGTGAACCAGCCTTGGTAACATGCCCACCCAGTGACTGTGAAGTGGGGAGTTACTGTGATGGTCTGGGCCACTTGAGTTCCTTGGAATTCGGAAGAAGCAGTTCTCCATGAGAAGAGGGAGAAAGGTTCTGTTACTAGAAAAAGGAAGAAAGTTGTTATACAAACAAAAGCAAAAGATATACACCACATCATAAGAAAAATTCTGGGAAGATATGTACTAAAATCTCAACAGTCATTCTGGAGAAGATGGAGTAAAGGGCATTCAGTTTACCCTCTAGCTGAAAACAACTGAGAAACAAGATAAAATATATGAAACTGTTCTCAACACATGGGCATGACTCAGTGAAGCACAGTGGTCCTGGAGATGGGAACAAAGGAGGTACACCCCACGGTTTCCCCACCTTATTGTCTGTAGGTCATGTGCCTTGTCCAGGCCATGGTCCAGGGAGGAGCCACCTAGGCCAGTGATGGCGAACCTTTTGAGCTCGGCGTGTCAGCATTTTGAAAAACCTTAACTTAACTCTGGTGCCGTGTCACATATAGAAATTTTTTGATATTTGCAACCATAGTAAAACAAAGACTTATATTTTTGATATTTATTTTATATATTTAAATGCCATTTAACAAAGAAAAATCAACCCAAACAATGAGTTCGCGTGTCACCTCTGACACGGGTGTCATAGGTTCGCCACCACTGACCTAGGCAGAGACTTCCAGGCTCCTTTATTGGAGGAGACAGGGCAGAGAATCCCAGGACACAAAGCAGTTAGAGTTCACAGGGAAAAGACCAGAAGAAAAGATGTGCACACAGGGAGAACTCCAGAGACCTGCAGAGCAGAGTACTGGTCAGCCCTTTGCCGGATTAGAGCAAGGAAGTACCACCTGATGAGATTAGAGCAGCCGTGGGCAAACTACGGCCTGCGGGCCGGATCCGGCCCATTTGAAATGAATAAAACTAAAAAAAAAAAAGACTGTACCCTTTTATGTAATGATGTTTACTTTGAATTTATATTAGTTCACACAAACACTCCATCCATGCTTTTGTTCCGGCCCTCCGGTCCAGTTTAAGAACCCATTGTGGCCCTCGAGTCAAAAAGTTTGCCCACCCCTGGATTAGAGGGACCAGTACTGAGATCTCAAACAAGGCCAGAAATAATGCCTGTTCCCACTAACCACTGGGTATTACTAAAAAGGGTCTAAGCCTCAGGGATGGGGATAATTAAACCTGGAATAGTGCACAGCAAAAAATAAATAAAAAATAAAAGAAGAACTGCTGATACATGTAACAATCTAGATGAATCTCAAAATTATTATGCTAAGAGAAGCCAGACAAAAGAGAAAACATACTGTATGATTACATTTGTATAACATTATAGAAAATGTAAACTAATTATAGTGAGAGAAAACACAGCAGTGCTTGCCTGGGAGTTGGGTGGGTAGGTGGCAAATAGGGTTAGAAAAGAGGCATGAACAATTATGGTCTTGATGAATATGTGGTGATGGTTTCAGAGATAAACACATATGTCAAAATTATCAAATAGCATACTTTAAATATGGACAATGTTTTAATGGCATTTACACCTCATAAAGCTGTTAAAAGTATTAATGGTGGTTATAACCACCATTATCGCTAAATGATGGACATATAAGTAATTTTTATTTTTTAAATTAATTAATTCTTGCCTCTCCTCCATCTCTTCTTTTTTCTCCTTCCATAATACTTATTATTGGTTAGGTCTCTTGGATCTATCCTCCAAATATCTTATCTTTTTCCTCATATTTCTCTGAAATCAATAAAAATATGTTTTTATTGATTTCATAGAGGAAGGGAGAGGGAGAGAGAGATAGAAACATCAGTGATGAGAGAGCCCACAACCCGGGCATGTGTCCTTGACCAGAATCAACCCAGGACCCTCAGTCTGCAGGCCAACACTCTATCCACTGAGCCAAGCTGGCTAGGGATATATATATACATATATATATATAGAGAACGCATGGACTTGGACAATAGTTTGGTGAAGGCAGTGGTGGTGATAGAGATGTAAGAGGGCAGAGAGGGCAGTGGTGGTGATAGAGATGTAAGAGGGCAGAGAGGGGATAAATGACTTAAATTTTTTAAAGAAATATTACGAGTGTTAATATAGTATTGGAAGGAAAAGGATAAGAGAAAATTTTTATTCTTTTTTTTAAATATATTTTATTGATTTTTTAACAGAGAGGAAGGGAGAGGGATAGAGAGTTAGAAACATCGATAAGAGAGAAGCATCGATCAGCTGCCTCCTGCACACCCCCTAGTGGAAATTTTTATTCTTTATGCACTGTGATGTGTTTTGAATAATTTTATAATAACCATGTATTTTATAACAGAAAATTACCTTTAATGTACTTCCATTTCTTTAAATAAATTGCAAGAATTCTTAAAGAACTTTACACAGTTTCTTTATTTTTCATAAATAAAAATATGTTACATATTTCTAATTGTAATGAAATAAAATATTTTCAAATTATTCTATTTTTTAATTGAATGTATTGAGGTGATTACATATTCACTTAGTAGAAAACAGCAAATCCTGAAGCATCTCCCATCTCATTTTCAATGGGTACGAATTTGTGACCCTGGCTCAGCTTTTACTTCTTAATTTTATTTTAGAAACTATTCTGTACCGAGCACAACCTGGGATTTTTCATTATACCTATGTCTGTGGAGGGCTGGGGACATCCTGATTCTCAGTGCTACTTTATGTTCTTTATGAAAATAAAGAAGCTTGGCTCTGGCCAGTTTGGCTCAGTGGATAGAGCATTGGCCTTCAGACTGAAGGGTCCCAGGTTCGATTCCGGTCAAGGGCATGTACCTTGGTTGCGGGCACATCCCCAGGAGGGGGTGTGCAGGAGGCAGCTGATTGATGTTTCTCTCTCATCGATGTTTCTGACTCTCTGTCCCTCTCCCTTCCTCTCTGTAAAAAATCAATGAAATATTTGGGGGGAAAAAAGTAAAGAAGCTTGAGATGTGAGCTTAGAGGGATATAAGAAACTGATTTTTTAATTAATTCATTAAGTGGCCAGTATAAGAACTGGCCTTTACAAATTGTTTTAAGTATGTATTGTTATGGTTTAAATACTATTCAAGAGACATTTTTAAGTTCCCTCTTTAGTATTGCATCAAAATACTTTTTAAAAATATTCTCCAAATGTTAAATAATATTTCTAGAATGAAGACAGAATGAAAGAGAAGAAAAGACATTTGGGAGACACAAAGCACTTTTGTCCAGTAGTTCTCAAAGAAAACTTCGTCCTACAACCAGGCAACACAGAAGAAGCAGCTAAATATCGAGAAAAGGTCTACTACTTTTCAAGTCCTGAGGCTAGAGAAAAATTTATGGAGCATCCTCAGGAGTATGTGGCTCACAATGAACCATTAAAGGTGAAAACTATATTATTCTTATCCTAATGATTGCTCCTGTTACCTTTTTAGGGACTTATTATATCCACCATTTTATTTGATAGTGAAGTTCCCAATCTGATATAGCAATATAGTGAAAACATCTAAGTTCCAAGAACAACTTTTTGGAATATAACCCAAAATAATGATCAGTTTTGATTTCTACTGTAATGCCTTGTGTCAAACCAGTACTTAATAGCTGTCTCTTTAGCTGAAACAAAAAGACACAGCTGAATTTATTGTTTATAAATCTATTGAATTTATTGTATTCCTTAACCAGTTAGTCTCTCTGAGCAGAGCAGTCTGCTGATCATAAGACAGGATTCGGGCAAGTATGGGATTCAGAGGTTCTGGGCCTTCAGTGGGTTGACATCCTCTGTGGAAGGGTGATTACTCAGGTGAGACTGCTGTTAATCTGGTTCCATCCAGAGGCATGATTATAGGGGCAAATTCATGCCCGATTGCTTGACTCTCAAGAGCAGGATGACCCTGATTCAGAAGATTGCAAAAGAGTGTTCCGAAAGGTGAGTGGTCCTTGTCAATGAAACTGTTTTCAACTGGTTTCAGTAGCTGTAGAACAATCCATCTTTTCCTAAGTTTGTAGGGACGTTTTTATCCTTACTTGTTTCCCACTTTGGAACAATTTTCTACATTCTTTAAAAAGTATTTTATTAAAGTGCCCAGCTGGCTTGGCTCAGTGGTTGAGCATCAGCCTATGAAAGTGGAGGTCATGGTTCGGTTCTGGGTTGGGGCACATGCTGGGGTTCTGGGTGCTGTCCCCAGTAGGGGGTGTATGGGAGGCAGCCAATCGATGATTCTTTCTCATCATTGATGTTTCTCTCTCTCTCTCTCTCTCTCTCTCTCTCCTTTCCTCTCTGAAATCAATAAAAAATATTTTAAAGTATTTATTAAAGCCAAACACAAAAGAACAAATACTGTACAATTCGACTTATACAAGGTACCTAGAATAAATTTATAGGGACAGAAAATAAGAGTGGTTGCCAGGGGCTAGGAAAAGGGGAGAATAGAAGTTGCTGTTTGATGGGTACAGAGTTCCAGTTTTGGGATAATAAAAAAGTTCTGGAGAGAGAGAGTGGTGATGGGTGCACAACATTATGAATATACATAATGCCACTGAATTTACACTTAAAATGGTCAAAATGGTAAGTTTTATGTTATGTATATTTTAACGCAATTAATAAAAGAACACATTGTGGCAATATTTTATTCATTTTTAAAAACAAAGCACACACATAGTAACACCAGCTCTAAACAAGTCTTCATATTTATGTTTTACTTTCCATCTTCTTCCACATGGGTATATATTGTTTCTAGTGTATATAGTATTTATAATATTTTTCTCTTAATATTATATCATAGAAAGTTTATGTATTTCTATAGAGCTCATAATGGTTTGCCATACCATTTTAATATAATTTGTTAGACTTTTTATCATGCTAAAAATGTATCTTTCCATTCTTTGTAAATTAAAACTTTAAAAAACCCCAAACTAATTCTATTTTATTAAATGCCTTTTGGCACAAGATATCAAAATAGTCTTATGATTGTTAATGCTCCCTAAAAACTACCGTTGATGTAATGCATCATGTTAATTGATCTCCTAATGTCAAAACAGCCCTGAATTAGTTAAGTGATAATTCAGTCTTAGGGAAGGCAGTTAATTAACCTCTTTTTTTTTAAAATAGCTCAAAGCTTTCTTTCCTTTATTCTCCCTTACCCCACATCTCCCTGACCCTCCCCCTGTGGCAGGCTCCTCCATTAAGAATATGCCTTCTGGGTCCCCGTGGCTCTGGCAAAACTATTTGTGGAAGACAGTTAGCAGAAAACTTGGGCATCTTTCACATTCAGTTTGAAGAATTTCTACAAGAAAAAATCATGCTCAAAACTGAAAAGAAAGTTGGACCTGAATTTGAAGAAGAGGCTGAGGAAGAACAACTTGCAAAACAAGAACTTGAAGAGCTTGCAATTGAGGCCAATGTCACACTTGAGAAAGAATATGCAAATAAGCCGGTAGTAATATTATAACTCTCTTTGCAGATAGTTGTGTTTGCTGGTATTACTTTTGGAAAGTAGGATATAAGGGGTGTAAAACTCTATAAAGTTTCCAAGAAAAAGAAAAACATTAGCCTGTAAAAGTCATTTAAGAGGCATCCTCCCCATGTTAGATACAAACCTTACTGCTAATCTATAATTGGCAGTAAGGGACTCCCCCCCTCCCCCGCACCCCAGTGCATGATTTAGCAGTGAGGGACCCTCACCCACACCAGTGCACGAATTTTCGTGCACCCGGCCTGAAGTCTATAATATAAAATTACTGTTTCGCATGACTCCAGTAAAAACCAGAAACGCTTTCCCTAACAAGACTGTTGTATAGCATTAATTTGGGGCTACGTTATTTGATATATCTGAACTAGACTCTAAGGCTTTTTATTATTGTGTTCTCTGTGTTTTTGCTTTGTCGATAGATAGATAGATAGATAGATAGATAGATAGATATAGATAGATATGTATGTATATTTTGAGAGAGAGAGAGAGAGAGGAAGGGAGAGGGAACAAGAGAGAGAAACATCGATGTGAGAGCAAAACATCAATCAGCTGCCTCTTGCACACCCCCCCACTGGGGATTGGCCTGAAGCCTGGGCTTGTGCCCTGACCAGGAATAGAACCGGCAGGCAACCTTTCGGAGCACAGGACGATGCCCAACCAACTGAACCATACCAGATAGGACTCTGTTTTTGTTATCATGTATCATAAAAATCTGCCCCAGTGCCAATGGGAATCTCAAAATATTAATTTCTCATGATGCCTCATAAGAAAGTTTGTATGGCGCTCTTAGGTGGTTTCTATCTAGGGTTGTAATTCTAACTCACTTTTTAACCATTTCTGATATAGCAAGACCCTTTTCTTCTCAAAGGACCCACTGTAATTGGATCCAGGTACAGACTGTATTTCAGATGACTCCCTGGCTAACCCATTCTTTAATCAGGATCTACTTTTAGTAACTATAAGATAGATGACAAAAATCAGTTATAGATTGAACAAGGTTTTAGCAAAAAGTGATAAGACAGATATCCTGAGGTCATGTATGAAAATCAGTTATGCTAATCGCTAGTAGCTCCTCTTAGCTACAGTAGATATAATTTAATACTTAAAACCATATAAGATATTGGTTTAAAGAAAAAAGCCTAAATATTAAAAGGTTTAAAAGCAGCAATATAAAAAAATGTCCTGAGAAAAAACAGGTGTCATCTTAATCAACTATGTAATAGAGTATTGTTTATTAATATAGTTTTGAATTTGTTTTGTTTTCTGATTTTTGTGTTCAGCCTCCAGAAGTGCAATTTACAGAAGAAGAAGAAGCAATCAGATTATATTTAATGGAAAATGAAGCATTGCCTCCCGAAATTCTAGAAAACATTCTTTCTGAGTGGTGGCATAAAGAACCAATACGGTATCTTAATTTATATAGGATTATACATTGATTGACTTTTATTTGCCTTATTCTCAAAACTCTAAAACAGTGATGGCGAACCTTTTGAGCTCGGCGTGTCAGCATTTTGAAAAACCTTAACTCTGGTGCCATGTCACATATAGAAATTTTTTGATATTTGCAACCATAGTAAAACAAAGATTTATATTTTTGATATTTATTTTATATATTTAAATGCCATTTAACAAAGAAAAATCAACCAAAAAAATGAGTTCGCGTGTCACCTCTGACACGCGTGTCATAGGTTTGCCATCACTGCTCTAAAACGTAATACAACATAAATTTTAAAATGTTCTTCTTTACTCTCATGTAAATTAGTGATTCTATACATTAAAAACATCTGGGAAATTATTATTTTATATATTTATTTTTATTGATTTCAAAGAGGAAGGGAGAGGGATGGAGAGATAGAAACATCAATGATGAGAATCATTGATTGGCTGCCTCTTGCACGCCCCCTACTGGGAGTTGAGCCTGCAACCCGGGCATGTGCCCTTGACCAGAATCAAACCTGGGAACCTTCATTCCCCAGGCCGACGTTCTGTCACTGAGCCAAACCGGCTAGGGCTGGGAAATTATTTATAAAATACTGATGCTAGGCCCCAACCCAAAATAACTGAATCAAAATCTTTGGGAGTGTAGCCATTTTTATGGAAATTTGCCCATTTAATAAGATAGAAAACATTTTAAATGCCAATTAAGGGCTGAAACTGTCAAATGTTAATGAAAGCTCTGTTCATATTAAGAAAACATATCTAAATATAAATATTTAAACAAACCAAATTTTAGATAAGCATAATAAACTTTCATTCACAAGGGGACCAATAAAGCAAGGCCGAGTTCTCAAAGCTTAATTATTTGTTTCGTGTGTGTGTGTGTGTGTGTGTGTGTGTGTTTAAATATATTTTTATTGATTTCAGAAAGTAAGGGAGAGGGAGAGATAGAAACATCAGTGATGAGAGAGAATCATTAACCGCTGCCTCCTGTACGCAACCTGGGCATGTGCTCTTGACTGGAATCAAACCTGGGACCTTTCAGTCCGCAGCGCAACGCTCTATCCACTAAGCCAGACCAGCCAGGGTAAAGTCTGATTGTTTTATAGTTAGTTACTTCACAATGAACATGTGTTAGCATTGTAGTTATTTTCATGATTCTTCAAGTTTCATCATTCTTAAACAAGTTTGATAAGCCTATTTGGGTATAATCATCTTAATACATATGAGCCAGGATACATACATACATAATTGTCATGAGTTACAAGGGGACCCAGGGAAGGAAGTATGAATTGTTTCATGAAAGGAAGCATCATTAAAAGAAAAACTACTGAAGGATGGCTTCCCACTAAAGGTCAGCTTGTCACACCTACCTCTTTATAAAGGGTAACAAGTTCCTTAGGCTGGGCATTCCTCCTAGGCAGAGAATTTATTTTCTCTTAATTTTCATCAAATATTAAGACTATTTATAATTAAAGAGAACTTATCTACATTATAAATATAAGAATAAAATATTATCATTTTAATTTAATTCAATATATTTGAGAAAAGACACATCATGTTTATGCAAGTAGAAATATTAAAAGAACTAAGAGAGATTACTTTTTAGACTACTCATTGCACATCTTATAGAAAGTTGAGATCAATACTTTTTTCATTTTTAAACTAATATTTATAATGTAATATTTAAAATAAATTATGCAATTCATGCCTAGTTCCACAGGTTTTATATTAGATGGTTTCCCACGATATCCTGATGAGGCCCAGCTTCTAGGGGAACATGGATTTTTCCCAGATGCTGCTGTTTTAATACAAGTTGATGATCAAGATGTTTGTGATCGGCTCCTGCCTCCCCAAATTGAAAAGTGGAAACTGAAACAGAAGAAGAAATTAGAAAGGAAACTACTCATTAAAGAAATGAAGGCAAAAATCAGGGTATGTATCTCGTAAAACAGTTTTAGAGTAAATTTTTTCTGTATCCTATATAATAATCCTATATAATAAAAGGGTAATATGCAAATTGACCCTAACAGCAGAACGACCACGCAACCAGTCACTATGAGGCGCACTGATCACCTCTCGGTCCTTTTCCCTACCTGGCTGGCTCTGATCGCCCGATGGTGAACAGGGAACCGGGGGTGGGTGGTGGGGGATGTGGGTGGCTCCAGGCCAAGGCCCCCACCCCGCTGGTCGCCCCACACACAGAGGGCGACCTGAGGCAGGGGCAGTGATGGGGCCGGCGAGTGGACAGGAACAGCCTACCTCTCGGTCCCTCCCCCTAGCCATCAGGCTCTGATTGCCCAATGGCGAACAGGGCACTGGGGGTGGGTGGTGGCAGGGGGCAGGGCCAGCTGCGGGCAGCTGGAGAAGATGGCCCTGATCGCAGGCCAGGCCTAGGGACCATACCCATGCATGAATTTCATGCACTGGGCCTCTAGTTAAATTATAAAGTGGTCTTTACAAAAATGTAGTTTTCTGATTTTAATAGCATAGTCAATATGAAAACACTCTTCATCGAATATTAAGAATATTTATGATTAAAGAGTTAAGATTTATTTGAGGCCTATGTGGTTATCAACATGTTAATATTTCTCTCTCCAAGGCAAATAAAATTAAAGATTTTGGTAGCACCAAAGTATCCCTATATCAGACACAGGTACATAATGGAAGAGGCAGCAAGTGAAGCAGACCTTAAAACACAAAAAATTAAAATTATCAGTGGTTTTTTTCACTAGCTCCTGGAATTATGACACCATCCATTAAGGCTATGTAAGCCTGTGGTGAAACAGATACAGATATTAGCTTAGAACATCTTTTCTAGCCGTAATGTGAGGAGTATTCCATAAAATGTTCAAAAGTGTCATAGGAACCCAACAATTCCACTCTTAGAAATCTACCTAAGTTTCGGGCACATCCCCAGTAATGGTTGTGCAGGAGGTGGCTGATGGATGTTTCTCTCTCATCCATGTTTCTAACTCTCTATCCCCTTCTCTTCCTCTCTGTAAGGAATCAATAAAATATATTTAAAAAAAAAAAAAGAACATCTTTTCTAAAACTGTAATGTGAGGAGTATTCCATAAAATGTTCAAAAGTGTCATAGGAACCTAACAATTCCACTCTTAGAAATCTACCTAACAGAAATGAAAACATGCCCACATAAAAATATGTATATGAATGCTCATAATAACATTATTCATAATAGCCAAAAAGGAGAAACAACCCAATGGCCATCGACTGATGAATGGATAAACTAAATGTGATAGACATCCAGATAGAATACCTGAGTTCTTACATACAAAGTAATTCCCTCTGAGGGAAACACACAAAGTAGCTGAGAGAGTTTGTACCTTTTACCTCTACACATTGGTTCAGATCTTTCTCAGCCCACACCTAGCACTCCTATAGGGATCTCCTAATTGTCCTTCTGGCTTCATCTCTGGTCCCCCTAGGTCAGTGATGGCGAACCTATGACACGCGTGTCAGAGGTGACACGCAAACTCATTTTTGGGTTGATTTTTCTTTGTTAAATGGCATTTAAATATATAAAATAAATATCAAAAATATAAGTCTTTGTTTTACTATGGTTGCAAATATCAGAAAACTTCTTAACTCTGGCACCAGAGTTAAGTTAGGGTTTTTCAAAATGCTGACACGCCGAGCTCAAAAGGTTCGCCATCACTGCGCTAGGTCATCCTTCTGGTCATCTCCAGGCTACTCTTCCTGATACTTCCTAAAACTCTGACCAAGCTGCCCTCTTAGGTCTGAACTCATTGTTCTGTCATTGGAAGCCAACCAATCTTGTTCCAAATCCTTTTTCTACCCTTGTTCCTTAGTTAGAACAAATACCAACCCTCCTCTGCAGCACCCAACATACCATGTGCTTTTCCATTTCCTTGTCTGGAAGTTTTTTACATCATCCTCCACAAGCCCTGTGACATTACATGAGTTAAATCCTCTGACTTTGCTAACTCACCTATAGAGTAGAATAATACTGTCTACTTTGCATGTTTTAAGCAGAAAAAATGTAAGTATGTCCAGTATTTATTGCAGTGCTCCTGAGAGTGATGGCATCTAGCAAACATACAACGGTTAGTTAAACTTCACTAACCACAACTTATTTGAGTGAAAGGATCAGAGAAAAAAATAGACTCAAAATATGCATGTGTGTTATTGTGCATACTTCGCATTTCTTTGTAGTACAGTGTTCTCTATGTATGTTATGAAAACGCAAAGGAGACTGTATTATGTTTTTCCAACTATACAGTTAAAACACCTTCTCACCCTCTAAAGAGCTAGAGAATCTCTTTGGGGGCTCAAAAACTAAATGAATTCCATTCTATTGAGTTTTATAATTCTGTCTACAAATCTTTCTTGAGTGTCAACAAAACATGAATTCTTCAGAATGTTTACTCACTAGTTGCCAGATGAAAACACAGGGTCCTGCTGGCCCAGGCCTGAGCCCCAGAGCACGTCTTCAGGCACCACTCTAATCTCTTAGGACTTAAAGGGATTGCATTTGGAAAGCCCTGAGCCAGTGAGCCCCCAAACCTCAGTGGGCTCATTAGTTTCCATTATTCATTACAATTTTTTAATGTCTGTTTTTTTATAGGATGATATGATTGCTAAAAGAAGGGCTGAACTTGTAGCAGAGAAAGAGAAAAGAAGGAAAGAGGAGGTAAGTAAAACTTTTTTTAAAAAAAAGCAGGACACCCATTGTGTGTATGTGTCAACAGTATAAAATAAAAAGAGGCATTAAAAAGTATTGAAAGAAATAGAGTTTATGTGCAAGTAGTGAGATTATATCACTTTAATTTTTTAGAGAAAGAGGGAGAGGAAGAGAGAGAGAAACATCAATGATGAGAGAATCATTGATTGGCTGCCTCCTGCACGCCCCACATGGGGGATCGAGTTTGCAACCGGGCATGTTCCCTGACCAGGAATCAAACCGTGACCTCCTGGTTCATAGGTGGATGCTCAACCACTGAGCCACTCCAGCCAGCCTCATTTTTATTTTTTTATACCTTTTGTTATTCCATGACTGTTTACAATGACCTCTTATTATTTTTGAAATCAGAAAAAAAAATGAAAGAAAACCACTAGAGATGTTTGAGTAATCTAATGTAAAATATAACACTGCATTAAACTATGCTTCTTTTGGAATTTTAGTTTTGCTTTCACACTTCCAGCCATGCCATAGGAGATGGGCTAGAGCTTGGGATTGAGGTACAGACAGGGAGCCTGGGAAGCTGCTGCAACTAAAATATAGATTATCTTGCGATAAAGGATGCAACAGGGCAGAGCCAAGTGAACTCTGGGTCATGTTCTGTGCAGCATGCTCAGTACAGCTCCTCTCCATCTGCTGATTTTTTTAAAAAACATAAACCTTGAAGACTATGGATTTTTTTGTTTAGAGAGGAGCTATTCCCAAATTGACCTTGCTGACCCAAATGCTACAGCCAAACTAGTTCAGAGGAGGTGTAACTAGACCAGCTAGTTCTGTAAAGGACCCGAGGTCATTATACAATCAACTTACAAGTAAACCTGGCAACCAAGGCAAACAATAAGATAGTCTCTGCCTCCTTCCATTTTTTTCTGGTTTAAGGCACTCTTATATCATCTTTTAAGGTACTCTTGTATCATCTTTTCAAGGCTGACTCTTCTGTAATCTGATTTCCATCTACATAAAAATTTAACTCAACAAAAGAGGAAAAACAGAAAATAGGGCTGGCTACACATGCCACCATATGTCACCCTGGTGTGGACATGCTCAAAGACTCCTGATATAGCCCAACTGTAACTGTGGGTCAAAACATTGCAGAAGAGGGGCCAGAAGAATTATTTCTTTGTCCAAAGTATTTACAACCAAAAGTTGATCTTAAACTATTAGACGGAGAAAGTTATGGCACCATCTAAGGAACAAGAGCACTCTTCTTTTGTTTTGATCTTCATTCATGCAGTCAGTTCATCAGTAACCTTAATGGAGCACTTACTACCTGCCTGATGCTATTTTAGCACTGGACAATCAACCCTGAACAGAATTTACAAAGTCTCTGGCCTAATGTCCATTCCCTGAACAAACATGTTCTGAAATTCTACTCTGTCAAATGAGTCATGCTAATGTTTAGGATAAAAAAGACAGACACCCTGCCCAGCTGGTGTGGCTCAGTGGTTGAGCATCCACCCATGAACCAGGAGGTCACAGTTGATTCCCTGGTCAGGGCTCATGTCCAGGTTGTAGGCTCTATCCGCACTGGGGACATATAGGAAAGAGGCAGCCGATCAATGCATCGTTAGTGTTTCTATCTCTCTCTTCCTCTCCCTTCCTCTCTGAAATAAATAAAAATCATATGTAAGCCCTAGATGGTTTGGCTCAGTGGATAGAGCGTCAGCCTGCAGACTGAAGGGTCCCAGGTTCAATTCTAGTAAAGGGCACATGCCTGGGTTGTGTGCTTGTTCCCTAATAGGAGGTGTGCAAGAGGCAGCCAATCAATGATTCTTTCTTATCAATGATGTTTCTATCTCTCTCTCCCTTTCCCTTCCTCTCTGAAATCAATAAAAATATTTTTAAATATATATTTAACACACACACACAGACATCCTAACCTGGGACCAACTACAGTTAACTACCTCTAGCCCTTGAGAGTCCTTAGTGGTCCCCTTAAGAATCACCTCAAATGTCTCAGGCATATTAATTACCAAAGGATTACAGACTTTGGGATGGAATTGATCTAAACTGGTACAATCTCTCCAGTTCTTTCTGAATTTGTTCATTGATGGCTACCCAGTGCCTAACATAATGCTGACACATAGCAGGCACTAAACTTACAGTTGTTTTGTTGCTATTGTATAACATTGAGCATTATTTAATCTCTCTGAGCCTAGGTTTTTTTCATTAGAAAATGGGAAAATTGCCCTACCAACATGGCTCAGTGGTTGAGTGTCAACCTATGAACCAGGAGGTCACAGTTCGATTCCTGGTCAGGGCACATGCCCAGGTTGTGGGCTTGATCCTCAGTGTGGGGTGGTGCAATGGGCAGCCAATCAATGATTTTCTCATCATTGATGTTTCTGTCTCTTTCTTCCTCTCCCTACCTCTCTGAAATCAATAAAAATTATTTTAAAAAAAGGAAATGGGAAAATTACCTAGTTTCCCTAATTAATGGTACTTTAATTTCCCTTCTTTGCTAGTCTTCAGTTACATTTTCTTTTCCCTAAGAGAATTAGTTTCCAGGATACATTTTATAAATTCATAAATCTTATAAATTTTCTTAATTTATAACTTTCCCATTTGTTAATATTATAATGTAAAGTTTCTTAATATTTTCATTCTAAGATTCACTATTCCATCTTATAAATTAAATAGGTTTTTGTAAGTTAACTCTCCTGAGACTTAATTGATATATTTTGCCTAAGTGACTGAACGACAGGTCGCTATGGCGCGCACTGACCACCAGAGGGCAGGCGCTCAATGCAGGAGCTGCCCCCTGCTGGTCAGTGCTCGCTCCCACAGCCAACCTCCCCCGGCAAGCCAACCTCCTATGGTCACTCCCCCCTCCT